TCACCCCACCTACCTCCCTCACCCTTAACCCCTACCTCCCTCACCCTTAACCCCTACCTCCCTCACCCTTCTTCCTCCCTCACCCTTAACCCCTACCTCCCTCACCCTTAACCCCTACCTCCCTCACCCTTAACCCTTACCTCCCTCACCCTTAACCCCTACCTCCCTCACCCTTAACGCCTACCTCCCTCACCCTTAACCCCTACCTCCCTCACCCTTTCTTCCTCCCTCACCCTTCCCTACCTCCCTCACCCTCAACACCTACCTCCCTCACCCTTAACCCCAACCTCCCTCACCTTTAACTTCCTCCCTCACCCTTAACCCTACCTCCCTCACCCTTAACCCCTACCTCCCTCACCCTCAACACCTACCTCCCCTCACTGCTCACCCCAACCTCCCTCACCCTTAACCCCCAACCTCCCTCACCCTTAACCCCTACCTCCCTCTTATAACCCCTACCTCCCTCACCCTTAACCCCTACCTCCCTCACCCTCAACACCTACCTCCCTCACCCTTAACCCCTACCTCCCTCACCCTTAACCCTACCTCCCTCACCCCTTACCCTACCTCCCTCACCCTTAACCCCTCCTCTCCCCTTAACCCCAACCTCCCTCACCTAACCCCTACCTCCCTCACCTTAACTCCCTACCTCCCTCACCTTAACCCCTACCTCCCTCACCCCTTCTCCTCCCTCCCCTTCCCTACCTCCTACCCTTAACCCTACCTCCCTCACCCCTCCTCCTCACCTAACCCTACCTCCTCACCCTTAACTCCTACCTACCTCCCCCTTAACTCTACCTCCCTCCTTCTCCTCCCTCACCCTTAACCCCTACCTCCATCACCCTTAACCCCTACCTCCTCACCCCTTAACTCCTACCTCCCTCACCCTTAACCCCTACCTCCCTAACCCTTAACTCCTACCTCCCTCACCTTAACCCCTACCTCCCTCACCTTAACTCTACCTTCCTCGCCCTTAACCCCTACCTCCCTCACCCTTAACTCCTACCTCCCTCACCTTTACCCTACCTCCCTACACCCCTAACCCCTACCTCCCTCACCCTTAACCCCTACCTCCCTCACCCTAACCCCCTACCTCCCTCACCCTTAACTCCCCCTTCCCTCCCTCACCTTAACCCCTACCTCCCTCACCCTTACCCCTACCTCCCTCACCCTTAACCTACCTCCCTCACCCTTCTCTCCTTCCCTCCTTAACCCCTACCTCCCTCTACTCCTCACCCCTCACCCTTACTCCCCTCCTCACCCTTAACCCCTACCTCCCTCACCCCTACTACCTCCTCACCTTTAACTACCTCCCTCACCCTTAACCCCCACCTCCCTCACCCTTTAACTCCCTCCCTCACCCCTTAACCCCCTACCTCCTCACCCTTAACCCTACCTCCCTCACCCTTAACCCCTACCTCCCTCACCCTTAACCCCTACCTCCCTCACCCTTAACCCCACCTCCCTCACCCTTAACCCCTACCTCCCTCACCCTTAACCCCTACCTCCCTCACCCTTAACTCCTACCTCCCTCTTTTAACCCTACCTCCCTCACCCTTAACCCCTACCTCCCTCACCCTCCTACCCCCTCTCCCTTAACCCTACCTCCCTCACCCTTCCCCCTACCTCCTCACCCTTAACCCCTACCTCCCTCACCCTTAACCCCTACCTCCCCTCCTTTAACCCCTACCTCCCTCACCCTTAACTCCTACCTCCCTCACCCTTAACTCCTACCTCCTCACCTTAACCCCTACCTCCCTCACCCCCCCCCACCCTCACCCCCCCCCCTCTTGCCCGTGTGACATACTTACAAATATGGAGGATGACAGAGTATAACGTTTGTGTTATTGTTTACAAAAGAATTATTTACATATTAGTGATAACACAGTTGCCATGGTAACCTCTCTCTCTCTCTCTCTCTCTCTCTCTTTTTTTTTCTCTCTCTCTCTAATATTGACAGGATAGATAAATATTTATGAAACTACCGTGACATCTGACACACACACACACACACACACACACACACACACACACACACACACACACACACACACACACACACACACACACACACACACACACACACACAGTACAAATTCCGGGAAAACGGACTCCCCGCTTTTGGCAACACAGATTGTTAGGCAAGGGGTGGGGTTGTAATAGGGGGAGGAGTGGGGTTGTAATAGGAAGGGGGGGGGGGTTGTAATGGGAGAGAGAGAAGAGGTGTAATGTGTGAGTGGAGTTAGAAGTGTAATAGGGAAGAAGTAGGTGGATGTAATGAGTGGGAGGAGGGGAGTGTAATGGGGGATCGAGACCCTATTTTTGGTCCTCTTTTTCCCTCTTACTTTCCCTCTCCCTCTTACCTTCCCTTTCACCTTTCCTTTCTCCCCCTCTCATCTTTCCTCTCTCCCTCTCACATTTCCTCTTTGTCATTTTCCCTTCATCCATCAACTCACCATGATTAGTTTCCCTACCTCATATTTCTCCTCTCCCTCTTTCCTCTTTCCCCCTCTCTTCCCCTCTCCCTATCTCCTTCCCTTCTCCTCCTTACCTCACCCCTCTTCCTTTCCTGTCTCCCGCTCCTACTCCTCTCATTACCCTGTGCTGTTAACGTTCAATCGTGTTGATGTTGCCAAATCGTTTTGCAATGCTAACTAGTAGCGTCACGGCATGAGGAAAGAAGGGAGCATCGACCGACCCACTTTGGTACACAGTCTTGCTTGGGTGGTTAAGTGAAAGAGTGGCGTAAGTCATCCACACAAATACAGTTTATTGGTCTTGGCTGTGTAAGTGTATCGTTGTATTGACTTGGTAGATGTCCAGTGTAGCCAGATTCATACAATACAATATTAATAGATTATTTTATGTACGGATACAAAGGTAATTTTTTAATAGAGAACTTCATGAATTAATTATCGGCACAGTTTTAATTTTAAATTTTTGGGGTTGTGTTTTGTTTTATTTAGGTAATAGGTTTTAACACACACACACACACACACACACACACACACACACACACACACACACACACACACACATACCTAAATAATAATAATAATAACAGCAATGTACCTCTTCCATACGCTGGGGGTCCTATTCTTGAATCTAAACCCTACCTTACCTAACAGTATTCCGTAAACCTGAGAACTACACTATGTACACCAAGTCTCGTAAAATTAAATACTAAAATAATTCCTACCAAACTTTTTTTTTACTTATAATTTTTGTAGTTATTTGGAGATTTTATGGTATATATATTTTTTTAGGTATTTTTCCTTCATTCCCCGCATCGTTAATGAGGGTAATTATTGCTTGGTTCATAGGTCCATTATGCTCAGAAGTGTAATTAGGTCAACCAGTCTGGCAGCGTTGGTGATGCTGGTGATAGTTTAGGAGGAAGGGTGAGAGGGAAATAAGAAGGAATGGGGAGGGTGGAAAAGGGGAGAAGGGGGTGGGATGGGAGAAGAGGGGATGGAAAGGGGAGGAAGGAAAAAGAAGAGGAATGGAAGGGTTAAAGGCGAAGTGAAGAAAGAGGAAGGAGGATCAGATAATATTGCACAGGTGGAAAGGAGAGAGAAATAGAGAGAGGAATAGCAGCAGAAAAGGAAGAATGGATTGGAAGAGAGAAAGATGATCAATGAGAAGAAGAAAGTTTAGATGTGTGTGAGTGAGAATAAAGAAGTTGTGAGGTTTAGAAAATGGGGAAGCAGGAGGAGGGAGGAAGGATTGTGGGGGGAACAGGAAGAGGAGGAGGATAACGAGAGGGGAGGAGATGGATAGTGTTTGAATGTCATGATAACTTATTGATGCCGTTATGACTCTCTCTCTCTCTCTCTCTCTCTCTCTCTCTCTCTTCTCTCTCTCTCTCTCTCTCTCTCTCTCTCTCACAAGTTGGATCAATGACTGAGGGAAACAGGGAGGAAAGACTAATGACTAAATATTGGTTTAATCTGATCAGCTGTTTAATTCCAATCATAGGTTTGTTTACCTCTACCCTATTGGTTCTCCAATCACTTGTTTATCTCTATCAGCTGTTTTACTCTAACCTAATTAGATCATTTTGCCCCACCACCAATCATCTGTTTCTCGCCTCGGTCAGCTGTTTGTCCCTACCCCAATCAGCTGTTTGCTCCTCAGCCATAAATTACGTGGTCATATAGACTGACCTTATCAACCCCCCTCGTCAAGCAAACGAGCAGTTCGGGCTGGTTGGGGGAAGAACTTCTTATTCTTTAGTCTGGTATTGACCGATTTTCTTCCTTGTTGCTTTTTGTCTTTTGAGGACTTATGTTAGATAGATAGATAGATAGATAGATAGGCAATTAAAGCAAATTCATACAAGCAGAGAGCTCTCTTCCTCTGTTAATTACTTTCATCACAGGTTCAGGCTCACGTGAAACCTATGAAGAGGATTCAGCCCTATGACGACAAATGGAGGGAGTTATGAGGGATTCTGTGGTAATGGTGGTGGTGATGGGGGAAGTGGTGAATAGTTGTGGTGATGGGGGAAGTGGTGTGGTAATGGTGGTGATGATGGTAGTAATGGTGATAATGGTAACGTTAACAGTGTGATGATGGTGAGGGTCTTGTCGGCCTCTCTCTCTCTCTCTCTCTCTCTCTCTCTCTCTCTCCTCTCTTTCTCTCTCTCCTCATTTTCCTCTATATATCTGAGTTTTACAAAGTTTTATCGTTTCGTTCAGGAGTTTGACCACAAAGACGAGATGATCACCGTATGGAAGGATGTCTGACGAGTGTGATGACGAGGATGACCAGACGAGGATCCTTCAGTGTGAGACAGGCGAGGATCCTTCAGTGTGAGACAGACGAGGATCCTTCAGTGTGAGACAGACGAGGATCCTTCAGTGTGAGACAGACGAGGATCCTTCAGTGTGAGACAGACGAGGATCCTTCATTGTGAGACAGACGAGGATCCTTCAGTGTGAGACAGACGAGATCCTCCAGTGTAGGAGCAAGGATCCTTCATTGTAAAGACAGGCGAGGATCCTTCAGTGTGAAGAAGACGAGGATCCTTCAGTGTGAGACAGACGAGGATCCTTCAGTGTGAGACAGAGAAGAGACATTTCCATACATAAACGTCTGGCTGAGCAACAAAATTACCCCCTCGTATAAATTAAACTCGAGAAAATGGCTCCTCCGTGTCGTGGTTTGTCAGTGAGTTAAGAAAATGACTCCGTGTCTTGGCTTGTCAGTGAGTTAAGAAAATGACTCGTGTCTTGGCTTGTCAGTGAGTTAAAAAAATGACTTCGTGTCGTGGTTTGTCAGTGAGTTAAGAAAATGACTCCGTGTCTTGGCTTGTGGGAGAGATTGTACAAGTCTGCGTGTCTCTATCCACGATGTATATACACTTGTTGACGAAGAGATGAGGAGAGTGTATATGGTTGATGTATATATACCCTCGTTGGTGAAGGGATAATGTGAACAATATTAGTTGTCACATTTATTGACTTTAGTAAAAATGAAAACTAATCGATTAGAAAATAACAGAAATAGAAAATATTCCTCGTCTAGAGTAAGTGTAAATGACCAGGAAAACAGAAATTACTTGATAAACAAAATGACCAGACCAGAGAAGACCAGATCTTGTCTAGACCTCAGTAAATGGTCTTTCAAGTGGTCTCCTATGTCCTTCGTCTCGGTTAAATGGTCTCCTATGAAGTCGGCCTCCAAGAAATGCTCTCCTACTCCCCCCGTGGTGGCTACAAGGTGGTGGGTGGTGGTTGTGGTGTGTGTGGTGGTGGTGGTGTTGGCTCCTACTGGCTGTGCAGCACAATACTCCAGCATCAAGCTCCGTCAGGGTACTGTGCAGGGGGTGAGTACTGCTAGGTGGTATGTGTGCGCGTGTGTGCGTGCGCGTGTGTGTGTGTGTGCGTGCAGGGGTAAAAGTACTACTAGGTGTGATCTCTGACTCTCCACACACACACACACACACACACACACACACACACACACACACACACACACACACACACACACACAGTAAGTATAGATTTTAATCAAACAATTTACCTTAAGATTTGTCAGTAAACAATGGCGTGCTGGTACTCACACTCAGGTCACACACAGGAGGGCTCGAGTTCGATCCTTGCTGTATATAATTTCTGTGATCTCATTTATTTATAAGTTATCAGGAACATAATTATTTTTTCATATAATTTTATTTTCCTATTTTTTCACTAGGTATTGAGGCAGTCCAGCGGCAGGCAGATCTACGCCTACCTGGGCATTCCTTACGCCAAGCCTCCCATAGGTGATCTCCGGTTTAAGGTGAGAGGTCCTAAGACTTTGGAAGAGGATAGAGTGAGAAGGGGAGGAGAACCGCCATCATTGTTGAAATTTAAATCATCTCACTTTTCTCTTTTAGTCTCTCAGTGTTTATTTGAGGAGAACTTTCTCTCTCTCTCTCTCTCTCTCTCTCTCTCTCTCTCTCTCCAACCCATTCAAGGACCATTTACCAAAGTTAACCTTGAGGTAATCTACATAAATATAATTTATATTTATATGCAAATAAGACAATTAATTACACAAACATGAGCCTCATCAGTAAACACTTTAGCTGAGGTTGATGGCGGCTTTACGCTAAACTATATTTAACCTAATTTTTAGTTCATTTTGTTTCGCTCTCCTTTGATGTGAGTTTAATGCTTGAAATGAGCCGCTTAAGAGTGTGTATGTGTGTGTGTGTGTGTGTGTGTGTGTGTGTGTGTGTGTGTGTCTCAAACGTAAAGATCCTTAGAAAGCCGTAATGTTTCAGGAAGACCCAATTAAATCTTCATCAATTGCCGTAATTATCTCTGATCATTAATTTTATGGATGATTAACTCTGATCCTGTCTATATATTTATTACTTATGTTCGAAAGACAGACAGAGAGAGAGAGAGAGAGAGAGAGAGAGAGAGAGAGAGAGAGAGAGAGAGAGAGATACACTACTACCCAAATGACCTTGCCAAATACCTAATTATCCATATTACCTATCTAATTAAGATTACTAATTACCTGTTCCTCCCTCAACAGCCCCCTCAGCGCCACGAGGGCTGGAGGACTACACTCTACGCCAGCGAGATGGGAGCCGCCTGCCCTCAGCCCTTCCTCACGAGTGTCCAGGTGTCCGAGGACTGTCTCACCATCAACGTCTGGGTACCTGAGGCAAGTTGTGTGAGTGTGTGTGTGTGTGTATGTCCCTCTATCCCTTCTCTCTTCAGGTCTGGAAACACTACACTACACTACACTACACTACACCACACTACACTACACTACACTACACTACTACAGATGCTACGAGAACTTAATATAAATCAAACCAACATGGCGGGGTGGCAGAGGGAAGGGGGGGGATCCATCGTTTATGTACTGTTGTAGAAGTAAACATAAATCTCTTTTTTATAGCAAATGATGAACAAACAGACGAGAGATGAAAAGATGAAATCAGTTTGTGTGTGTTGAAGGGCACAAAGAGAAGTGGGGCGGTGTACGCACAGACAGATGTAGAGATGCTGTTATATGGTCTATAGGCTCTCTCTCTCTCTCATCCATGTGTCTGAAAACCGTAAATAATTTCTTCTCGTTGAGAGAGAGAGAGAGAGAGAGAGAGAGAGAGAGACATTGCTAATTGTAATCCTTAACCTGCTGATATAATGACTTATGATTCATAATGATGTTGACCTTTGACTCATAATAATATTGACCTTTTGATCTGGTACCACAGCTCCCTCGTGGATTCCGGCAGTATCCTGTGGTGGTCATGATAGAAGGGGAATTGTTCGTGACCTCAGCGGCCTCCAGATTCCCGGGTGAAGACCTCGCTTCAAATGACCTTATCGTGGTGACCTTCAACTACCGGACCAACGCTTTCGGTAAGATGACAACCCGCTCCCCACCCCAACCCTTAGTAATGTTATCTTAGTTAATGTAAACTTTTGTTATCTTGGGTGATGTAGCGTTCTGTTATCTTAGCCGTGGTAGAACTCTGTTATCTTGGTCGTGGTAGAGTTCTGTAATCTTCCGTTATCTTAGGACTGGAAAAGATGGCCACTGTTAGAGTTTCGTGTCTTGGTTATCTTATATATATATATATATATATATATATATATATATATATATATATATATATATATATATATATATATATATATATATATATATATATATATATATATATATATATATATATATATATATATATATATATATATATATATATATATATATATATATATATATATATATATATATATATATATATATATATATATATATATATATATATATATATATATATATATATATTAATTTTGGTTATCGTATGTATGAAAATTTTTACTTATGTGTGTTTTTCCTGGAATGTGGTGATGTATTGTGAATTTTGTACAATAACACACACACACACTTACAGTATACCGACACCTAACCTCCTGTCTCCTCTCCTCGCCAGGCTTCCTCACCTGGCAGGATCAGGTACTGCCGGGTAATCTGGGGCTGAGGGACCAGTCGCTAGCACTACAGTGGGTGGCCGAGAACATTGACAAGTTCGGCGGTGACCTGACCAAGGTGACTCTTCTAGGTCACTCTGCCGGAGCCGCCTCAGCCGCTTATCACCTCGTACTCCCCCGTAGCCAAGGTACAGTAACACCCCTCTCCCCTTCTTTCTCCTCCCCTTCCCTTCCCTTCCTTTTTATTACAGTATTTTTATGACCATATTCTTTATAAACTCTTAAGTCACCAGAATTACCTGTTGTTGTCTCTTCCGAGTATAAAGAGTATAATCCTCTTCCTTTTATTTTATTAATTAACTTTACTGCTTCTGGTTTTCTTATAAGTGAAATCCCCTTCTAATGAATCTTTCCACGTAACGTTAAGTGAACATCTTATACCCCCCCCTCCTTCTTGGCTATAGTGTACAGGCAGCCCATCGTAATCCTTCCAACTTAACCTCAATCCGAAGGTAAAATTAGTTCCCTCATATCTGCCAGACTCGTCCCAGCGTGTAATCTCATCGTCTTCTCATTATTGAACAGTGAACCGTAACATTTCCAGCTTCTAGTTCGTAACATCTTTGGTTAGGTTAGGTTATGAACGTAAATCCTTCTTTACATAAGCCGCCCAGCACCGATTTCAGAGACTGGAAAAAGTATATGAAACAGATAATCTTTTTCCAGGACCATTCCAGCAAGTGATTCTCCTTTCTGGATCCAATCTTGCTCCTTGGGCTCTGAGTAGACGGCCCCGGGAGGCAACCAAGAAACTGTCAGAACACCTGGGCTGCGGCTACGTCTCGGGTTCCAACTACCTGGTGGAGTGTCTCAAGACCAAGGACGCCAACCAGATCGTGAAGGGTGTTGAGCGTCTCATCGAAGTACGTGTCTCTGCTCCCTAAGTTTCCTTCTCATACTATTTACACATAAGGTCTTGTCTTTCCATGCGATAAATAAGTCTCTTTTATTTTTATTATTTTGGGTATTTCTAAGTACACCCATGTCTTATCGGCCAGACGAGGTACTGGTTTACTGTTATAATTAATTCGTTGTCTGGAAAATATTCGAGCACTCTTTCGAAGACATTCTCCTTCAACTATTCATTCTTATCTATTTACTCCCCCATCCTCCTTTCTCCTCGACAGGAAGGGAACCCATACTTACTGTTCGCGCCAGTAGTGGACTCTTTCCTTCGTTCGGATGAACGGATGGTGCCGTTGGAGCCGCTACGAGCCATCAAGGAGAACATCAATAGGAGGATACCCGTCCTGTTGGGGCTTTCAGAGAACGACGGCTCTGTAATGCTGTGTGGGTGACCACTGGGAGAAGCTTATTGAGTGAATGGCGTATGAATAACTAGTGGGAGAGGTTCCTTTCCGTGACTGAATGGAAAGGCTCATCTGAGTGACGGGTGGGAACTTACTTATGGATAAGACATTTATTTTTTGCTATCTCTTAAGAACGATTTAATGTTTTTGTTTTTTTATCTGTGAACGTTATGTTGAGATGGATTTTGAGTGTTGTGAAAGAGTGTTTTGTGTGAGGTGTTCTTGCCATTCCCTTGTATTGTGAATTGTGACTCTGACAGTGTTATTAATTCTTTTTTTGTGTTTTCTTTTCCTTCCTTGGTTATTTTTTTAAGGTTATTTACGCTTCTATCGTTATCAATTTTATCAGTTACATTTTGTTTTTAGCTACGTCATTCTTCCTATCTAATTCATTTTCTCATTTATTTTCCTTTTCACCTCAATCTCTCCGCTACCCACACTCACCATCACCACACTATCCACTATCCACCACCTACACTACCCACTATACATACATTCCACCCCAAACACCATCACCACCCACTATCCACACATTCCACCCGTACCACCACCCATTATCCACACATACCACTACTACCACCAATTCTTACAGACATCAAGCGGGAAATCGGCTACATGACCTATGATGACCTGACCCGCTACGGCCACGAGATCCTGGTGCCCCTGTTAACCTCCCTGGCTGCCCTTGGTGAGAACTCCGCCGTCGTCAACAGAATGGTGGAGTATGCTTACCTGGACAAGGCTCCTAGGGGCAATAAGGACGAACTGGTACTCGAGATCGTCAAGGTATAACTTAAGGATGAGTTTGAAGTAGTAAGGGATATGATGAATGAGAGAGATGATATGAATAGTGAATAATGATGAAATGAAGAGAATGATGGATAAATAAGATAGTCAATAATACTAATTGTGAAGAATGGTTTGATTATTGAATTCCGTTTATGTGTTTTTTTATTATTTATTTTTTCATTATTATCAGTGTTTGCCAATAATGGAACTGTTGAATTAAAAGCTCATTATTGATTCTTTCTTTTTTTTGCTTTATTTCTCCCGTTTATGTAGTTATTATTTGTGTTTTTATTGATTTTTTTTTTGGGGGCTCTGCTTCAGATGTTTACAGACGGGATGTTTAAGGCTCCTGTGATCAAGATGGCAGAGGAAGTGTCTACTCTTACTTCTCTCGTCAACACTTCTGGGCTCTCTCTATATCTTCTCTCTCTCTCTCTCTCTCTCTCTCTCGTTGGTTTAAAGTTTTGCTCTCATTGTTTTTGTCATATCATAATTTAGCTTATTGACCAACCTTCAATACCTGTCACAACTATTACCTTATTATCACCATCAACAACCATGATCACTTTAATTACCACCACCACTACTATTTCAACCACTGTCAATCACCATCGCTTTAATCACCACCACCACTCGAACTACTAACACCAACACTCTCTCGTCTCCCCTACATCCTCAGGAGCCCTCCACGGGTCTGAGTTGGCCTACCTCTTCGCCCCGTCTGCCTACAGAAAGATCTTCAACCTCCCTCTTACCTATCCCGAGGAACAGATCAGCCACAGTCTGAAGAAGATGGTGTTATCCTTCGCTAGTAACGGGTGAGTCGCGCCATTCTGTCCCACCAACTTAATAGGCAGGGGGGGGGGGGGTTACTTGTGTCCTCTGCGGGGTTTTATTGCAGAGACGGAGATAACAAAAAAACTGTTTCCTTCAGGATCCCGTTCTTCGGGCAGCCTAACTCTGGTTGGGGTCGCTACACTCCTCAGACGCCCAACTTCGCGTTGCTGGAGACCAAACAGGTCCACCAGGGCTACCAGCTGCACCAGGTGGCCTTCTGGAACCAAATGCTGCCCGAGCTAGCTCAACTGTCCTGCCTCGACCCCACCGTGAGACCCACCACTCGCCCCACCACACAAGACTCCACCAGTGAGTCTCAGAGTAAGTCTAGTATCTCACCATCATGTAGCGTCTAGTACCTCACCATCATGTAGCGTCTAGTACCTCACCATCATGTAGCGTCTAGTACCTCACCATCATGTAGCGTCTAGTACCTCACCATCATGTAGCGTCTAGTCCCTCACCATCATGTAGCGTCTAGTACCTCACCATCATGTAGCGTCTAGTCCCTCACCATCATGTAGCGTCTAGTCCCTCACCATCATGTAGCGTCTAGTACCTCACCATCATGTAGCGTCTAGTCCCTCACCATCATGTAGCGTCTAGTACCTCACCATCATGTAGCGTCTAGTCCCTCACCATCATGTAGCGTCTAGTACCTCACCATCATGTACCGTCTAGTACCTCACCATCATGTAGCGTCTAGTCCCTCACCATCATGTAGCGTCTAGTCCTCACCATCATGTAGCGTCTAGTACCTCACCATCATGTAGCGTCTAGTACCTCACACCATCATGTAGCGTCTAGTACCTCACCATCATGTAGCGTCTAGTCCCTCACCATCATGTAGCGTCTAGTATCTCACCATCATGTAGCGTCTAGTACCTCACCATCATGTAGCGTCTAGTACCTCACCATCGTGTAGCGTCTAGTACCTCACCATCATGTAGCGTCTAGTACCTCACCATCATGTAGCGTCTAGTACCTCACCATCATGTACCGTCTAGTACCTCACCATCATGTAGCGTCTAGTACCTCACCATCATGTAGCGTCTAGTACCTCACCATCATGTAGCGTCTAGTACCTCACCATCATGTAGCGTCTAGTACCTCACCATCGTGTAGCGTCTAGTACCTCACCATCATGTAGCTGACGTCCAGGAAACCTTCTCTGCTCCTCCACGATCCGCCAGAGTAATGGTATAAGGAGAAAATGAACCGGGTAATCGACTTAATTTGAAAATGCGCTTGTCCCCTCGACCTCAGCACTCATTGCACCATCACAGCTTCGACAGGTTCCTTAATGGTGTTGTCATATTAACTGTGTTTGTCTCGGGGTCTACGCCACTCACACCAACATGTCGTCTCTTTTAAAGTTTTGTCAGATCTCCTGAAGAGCACACGCTTAGAGGCCATTTAACAATTAACTTTAAAACAAGCATTTTATGTTCGCTCTTTCTCTTTCTTACCCTGACGACCCGAGAACGCTTGATAACGTTCAGTCAGTGAGATAAATGCCAATTATATTTTGTCTTATAAAAAACTTAACTTATATTTTATCCACTAGAAAACAACATAGATTTGATCGCACTGAAAATTCCTGAGTACATCGATGTTTGTTTGTTGGTCTGTCTGTCGGTCTGTCTACTTTTTTTGGTTACGAAACATCTTGAAACATCGAGATTAAAAATATAATATTGATCCCAGGAAACATTACTAATGCTTGATTATAATAACTTAATATTCTTTACACTAAAACAGTTCCATGTGAGTCTCACCTATATTCCTTATGTTGCGTTATTTCCCTTAGGGGCCGTCAGGTCTCTGGAACCCCCTTTTCTTCTTCCTGCTAAATAAATCTTATGAAATAATTTTATTTTTTATCGAAACATTTGGAGAGAGATGTATAAAGTAGTGTATAGAGTCCTTTGTATATATATATATATATATATATATATATATATATATATATATATATATATATATATATATATATATATATATATATATATATATATATATATATGATGTCTTGCTCATAATGAGGGTACTTTTCAGTCATCACACCAGGAGCGAGCAACGTATCGTATCAGTCAGCGATGTGGGTGCTGGTGGCGGTGATCCTCCTGCTCGTCGCCATCATCATTGCTTACATTGTGTGCTCCAGGCGTCGCCAGATGCTCGACTCCAGCACCCTGCGAGACCAATGACAGACGGAAACGAGGAGTGGTGAGCGAGCTGTGTACAGGCAAACCCCAGGAACACTGAATGACCGCAAGGGGGGAAGAGGAGGAGGGTATCCAGGGCCTTCCAGCACTCCTGGAACCTTGGAACGAACAGAGGAGATTGTAGAGCGCCCCACATCGTCAAGATTCACTCACTTTGGGTCAGTTCGATTTGAGAGACGAGATCCTGACGGTTTCGACGCTACCGATAGTTTACCCTCAAGTATCCCTACTTTCGTTTCGAGGAATAACCCCCTATTGAGGCTGGCGTCACTCGGAGAAGAACGGTCGACCGCACAACAAAACGACCATCCAGATTCGATCGCAGAGCGCAAAGTGAAACTGTCGAGCTTCCCCAAAGATAACTACTGGTTCAGATCTCAGAAGGACCGTGAAGATTCAGTCATGGAGACGACCGCCGAAATGATATATGATAACCGGGAGGAGGGAGGTCGGCGTCCTAGTGCAATCTTCTATGTGCAGGACGATGACGCTTCTTCCTCCTAAAGGTCTTCCTCCTGCTGAAGGTCTTCCTCCTGAAGATCGTACAGCTGCTGACGATCAACTTAAACTATCAATAGTTTGATAGATCTCCACAACCGAACAGTAGAAAATATAAAATCATGCCTGAATGAGCTCGTTCGCCACTTCTCGTTGCTATTAAAAGTTATAATACAATACAGTATTAGTTAGCTACGAGTTGAGTGTTTTGTTTTAGTGTGTGGTGTTAGATTTGTATTTTTGTTCTTTATTTTCTCGTGACTTTTGCTCATGAGATATGATAGACATATTATGTAGGCTTTAGTTATTTATTACTTATGTAAATTGTGATTATAATAGTTATATTGTGTGTATGTGGTAACATCAGAGAACAGTATTACCAGCGGCTAGCAGTGACTTGTTAATGTGCAATCTCTATGACATACATAGAACCAAAGACATTTGTACAAGGGGTTTAATGATAGTCCAAGTTGGTTATGATCTGTCGAGTTGTTGCCAGTGATCTCTGGTGATGTATTTATCGTTGATATTACCAAATGAATGAAATGTATTTGCCCACAATGAAATATTTATTGATGTGATGTGATGAAGGGCGGAGGAATTCCCTCTACAACGACACCTGTAATTATTGACAGCTTATGTTTGTGCTTTTGTGTTGAACTCCTTTAAGAATATTTTTATATATATTTAATTACTTTATTATTATGTAAAACGTAAGAAGGGAGAAGGACGTGTCATCTCCCAACACTTTTAGAAGTTGACCAAAAACAACCTTCCTACCAGTGCCATCTCAGAAAGCCTATTACTGATACACGGTGCATTGTGAAGTGTGAGAGTTGTGACGTGATGTAATGAGGTGGAGTAAATCACTACGAGTAACGTCATAAAGACTAACACATTGACTGACGTGTTTGTTCATCAGAGTCAACTGGTACATAGATATACAAGTGGACACTGTTGTAGAAGAACATTTGTGTTACATAAATTTAGTCTTCATTTTTATATTGACACGTTAGTAGTTGTTTCTGTAGTAAAGGAACACAAGTGAGCGAAGTTTCTGAAATTTGTTTCTCGATAAGAAATTGAAAGAATATAGCTTATGGAAATAAATTAAAGTGTAAGTATATTATGCGACTACTGTACTTATTGCGATAATGATGTTATTAAATCGTCTTAACAAAAATATGATTTTTTTCTTTATTGTAACGATCTAACACTGGGTTTTGTGTGAGCTTTGTATTAAGATATTCTGTGTGGTCAGACGTCAGTTGAGCATGACTTAGTGACTCGCTGGTGCACTGATTGTCATTAGCGAAGAGGATAAATTTTGCAAAGAAATCTTGGTGAAATGGGCCTTGTTTTTAGCGATAATTGAACCATTTTTTGACGTTTATTTAATGTTTTTCATAAGATTTTTTTTCAAGAGTAAACTAGTGGCTTACTTTTTATCAGGATATGAGTAGACAGTAAGAGAACTGTCTCATTTGAAATACAGTTCTCAAGTACACTACTCAAGAAATATATGAAGGGGAGTGGCATGTAAGGTACACTCCTCTAAATTCTTGTCTGAGTTTAATTTTCCTCCTTTCCCCTTTCCCGTGTGATTTTATCAAGATTTATCTTATCCACGTTTTCATTGTGGATCTACATGAAATGCAGTATATATATATATATATATATATATATATATATATATATATATATATATATATATATATATATATATATATATATATATATATATATATATATATATATATATATATATATATATATATATATATATATATATATATATATATATATATATATATATATATATATATATATAGCCAGCACAACTCGGTCACTAGATACATTTATTTCCCCACTCCCCCTCTCTCCTACCTGTAATATTGAATTAAATCCAGGTAACATCAAGAGGGAGGCTATTTGGAATATAATTTCAGTGTAAGAGATCTATATCCTATTTGATTTGTTTCTAATAGATTTCTGATCTTCAGCACCGCAAGTTTTCCCAGTCAATAATGATAAATTTATTAAATTTACTGCTTTGGTAAAGAGAAGAAGCCGACGGGTTCTTCAGTCCCCCATTGTTCCTGGTGAGTTTGGCCTTCATTGTCCAGTGTTTACAGGAGTTGGATACTAATATCATTTGCCGTATTTTAACTAGAAGTTTACAAATATGTCAATGACTGTACTATTTTAGCTTATATACCTGAGTTAGTTCTAAATATCTTTTCGAAAAATAACAGATTTATAAGTACGTTAATGTAGTTACCCCAATAATATATAAAAAGAAATTTGTCTTTATTTATGGCTAACTGAAGGAAGTCTCATAACTCATTTATATTAGAAAATATTTCTTATTTATGTCATTTCCATGTTTTTATAATTTAGAATTTTAGATTACTAAAATATTTTCAAAAGAAATCATCGCATGGAATATGAGATGGTAGTATCGTGCTTTCAGAAAGAGTATAACAGTGTTCGCCCAAAAATAGGTTTTTTTTCGGAACACTTGCAAATTAATCACCCCAACTAATTTCACCTGATTATTAAATACCCTATCGCTACCTAGGGGGGGGGGGGTGACGTTAGGTTAAGTTACGTTACGTTACTTTTAATTATATTTTTTTCTTAATTAATTTTTTCACTACTTATCATCTTACTAGCCGTACGGATGATTGGCCCTGAACTTTATTGCCCAGTGTTAGTACTGGAGGAAACTTGTGATGTTTGGTAGGTCCTGACAGACATGGGATCGAATCCAGAAAACACAATAATGAGAGATACTCGAGCTGCTGTTCTTTAATAATTGGGTGACAAGCTGGAGTGTCTTATCGCTAGGTGATCCTTTTTTTTTCTTATGTATCTCAGCTTCATACTGGCCAGGGCAGATGTGAAGAAGGGTGTCATCCAGTGTGAGCCTACCAAGCATGGCAGGTTTCTCTTCTACTAAAACTGGACCAGGGAGGATGGGCTACGTTACCAAACATGGCAGGTTTTCTTCGGTCATTCCAGTTTCCTCCTGTACTAACAATGGACCATGGAAGATGGCCCTCCCCTTAAGAAGTTTGCCATGACAATCTACTGAACTTGTGGCTTCTTTAACAAAAATTAAGAACCAAACGGACAGTGATGCGCTACAAGAAGATATCTGTTGGTTGAGGAGTTGTTAAGGGAATGGCTGTTAAAATGCAACGTCACGAAATGCAAAAATATGCACCTAGGTTGTACTAATAGTAAGGAGGCGTAGTACTTGTCCCAACGGGACGAAGAAAAATAATTAACTGAAACCAAATTTGAAAAGGACCTGTGTGCACGTGTACAACGAATTGAAGTTCTCGGGCTTTTGTAAGAATGTAAATCAGGCATATAAGCTAGTAGGTCTCATTATAAGGGTGTTTTCATACGTTATTCAAGTGAGGTGCTTCCCCGTTTGGAGTATTGCCACACCGTCTGGTACCCGGGAAATATTAGAGACTGTTAGTTGATTTAAAATGTCCAAAGAAGGTCCACTTGCACCTAGACAGATTAGAGTGTTTGCAGTGGCCTAGCTTATATTATAGGTGGGCAAGGGGTGACTTAATGCAGGTCTATAAGCACGTCGGAGGGAAGGGGTCCAGTGGCTCGTGTAGGATCCCTCCAGTGTTCTTGATAATTTTGTCAAGGGCGATTTTGAAGACCAGTACTATTCGTGATTCCACAGCTTAGGCTGGTAGACCATCCCCTAGGTCTACCATCCTTTGTGTAAAAAAGTATTTCCTTAGGTTCTTTCTGGATATCATATGTACACCACGATCAAGAAGACCACTGTAGAGAAGGATATAGGGGTAGTCATCGATGATATGCTGACGTTTTCTGACCATCTAGCTGAGAAAATCAACAAGGCTAATAAAATAGTGGGCATTATTAGAAGAACTTTTGTTCATCTGGATGCACCTATATTCAAGGCTCTGTACACTGCTCTGGTTAGGCCACACCTTGAGTATGCTAATCAAATTTGGTGCCCATATCTCATTAAGGATATTGAAGCAGTAGAGAATGTACAGAGGAGGGCTACCAAATTAGTACCACAGATTAAGGATTTATCTTATGAGGAAAGACTAAGGAAATTACAGTTACCGACACTGGTGTACAGAAGATCTCGTGGGGACCAAGTGGAAACATACAAGATAGTGTGTGGCATTTATGACCAGGCATGTACAGCAGGAATGTTCCAGATGAGGGAGGCTGACACTACCCGGGGGAACACAAAGAAGATCTACAAAACAAGAGCGAGGCTAAATCTCAGAAGACACTCGTTCACGAGTAGGGTTGTCAACAACTGGAATAGTTTACCTGAGTGGGTAGTGAATGTGGAGACGGTGGAAAAGTTTGAAGCAAAATTACATAAATACTGGAAAAATCAACAAGTATCTAATTTTAGGGCACAATTATCCGCCACACACAGCCACCGTCTGAGTAGAGAAGAGGCTATTGAGCTGGAGTCACAGGCGTGAGCCTCTTCCAGAAGATCATCTGTGAGTATCTGTGAGTATAATTTGGCGAGCTTGTAGATATGTCCCCTCGTGTTGGTGGTGTATGACATAACAAAGGATGGCTCGGGTTCCTGTTTTCCATTCCCTTCACTAGTCTTTCTGGAGGTAGGGTTTCCATGCCTGTAGACAGTAATCCAGACTGAGACGAACTTAAGATTTGTACAGTTGAAGGAACATTTTCGTATCTATGTATTCGATGGCAGTTTTTATGAAAGCGTACCTGGCTATGTTCAGGGTTGGCACGTCGTGAGAAAGACTACCTAGGTATACTTACAGTTTCCTCCTGTGCTGAAACTATTGGTTTATACCTAAAAGAACAATATCATCCCTAAACTAAAAGTATGATACTTTAGGTTTTTGTTGTTGTTAGTGTGTTTACATTTCCACGTGACGGTGCCTGGCTAGTTTGTTATTTTACTTAACTTCTCTCAGTTCTACAAATACACAATCTTTCTCATTTTAGAGACCATTGATACCAAGATCAAGATATCAGTGACATCTTCAAAGGCTACGGTAGTGATTACTAGTAATGATTGTTCTATATCATCCAGTAGACTTAAGGCACTGCCCACACAAGTATACCCAAATATAGGTGTTAGTGGTGTTGTCTGTGGTCAAATTGTGGTTGTCAATGTTTTTCTAAGTGTTTTAGAAATAAATAGAAAGAAAAAACAAAAAAATATATATTTGGGTGTTTCGTCCCGCCCCATCCATAGCTAAACTTGGTTGAGTGCCTTTTGACTTTGGTATACAGTACTTATACTGTAGTGTGTACGCACATCCTGAACCAGTGTAAACTTGGATGATAATCTTACAGAATACGTATCCATTAATTTATCTATTAACAACTTAAGAATTACATGGACTGTTACTATATTAATTTATGATGCTTACACTCTAGCACCTCTACTTTTGACAAATTTGGTGGGCAGGGCATAAAGGATAAGGGAAATTGCGGGGTAAAACGCAATGGAAAAACTGATAATGGGGTGTGCCCATTTCGTCACCACATTTTTTTGCCCGTTTTGTCACCACTGATTTTACCCGTTTAGTCACCGCTTTCATTCCCATCACCATTTCAAGGGCAATACATTCCAGAAAATTCTTACATAATTAATACATCAATATATATGCTGTTGCTTGAGATAGAAAATAAACAAAATACTAGTTTACAAAATTTTATTCCAGAATTATGCCTCGGCATAATAATCCTGCAATCATCTCGCTTAAACAATATGTGAAAGACTAAAATTAAAAGAAAAAGAAAAAGAAATATTGTTATTACTCATGCAAGCTTGGAAGAAGACTGACAATCTTGTAGAAAATTAGAAGTGGTGATATTTTTTCTTTATATTCATCCCACAGCTTCCAGAGATGGACTTGTTTGTCATGATTTGCTTTTCTTGTGCACAATTTTAGCTTGTGCTCAGCAACTAGTTGTAATTGCAAATCAATGAAGAAGAAGAAATAATCACCCTCATTTGTTCAGTATTTTGTTTAATTACCAATGTCTAAATTGCTTTCTTTTTTAAATAATTAATATTCCTGTATAATGATAACACAATAATTCTGGAGTCATCTGTATACATGTGTAATTTCTATTTTGTTTATTTACCAGTGTTTTAATAATTTTCTTTATTAAATAATTGATATTCATGAATAATAATAACACAATAATTCTGGAGTCATCTGTATGCATGTGTAATTTCTATTCGTGTAAAATAATAACTTACAATTTATCACTCTAATACCAGTGACTGATGGTCTGTTAGTGGTAACAAAACAGATTTGGTATTGGTGACAAAATGAGATGTATCCCTGATAATATGTTTACCATATTTACCGTTAATAGTCCTCCAAAAAATCTGCTGAGTCACCGCATGTCGTCTGTTACATCCAACCCAGCCAGTCCGAGCACACACTCATGTCCACAAAAAACAAAATTACACCATGACGTTTCAACAAATTTGTCTTCATTGGTATACCAGATAACAAAACAAATACTTTCTGTTAAATAAGGCCGAAGATCCCGGGGCAGTCCTGGCAAGGAACTTGGGTAAAGTTAGGTAGGTTTCTCTGGTTGGTTAGGTCAGGTTCTATTAGGTTCTAGTAAATGTCGCCTCTTTTAAAATACTTAGTATAATGATCTCTTGATAAGAACACCTGTGGAAAAAATTAATAAAATCGAACAACTCCTTGTGGTGAATAACTGAAAGTACAATGATTTTCAATTGACGACAAACTGGCATAGTTGAGCTTTGTCGTTGTCATGTTTTTGCGATTTAGAGACTTATTTAAGTTTACAGACATTTTATATTTCAATATTCTGTAAGGCTTTTTATATATATATATGTACTGTGTATAATATATATATGTATGTATGTATATATATATATATATATATATATATATATATATATATATATATATATATATATATATATATATATATATATATATATATATATATATATATATATATATATATATATGTGTGTGTGTGTGTAGTCCCCAATTTCTTTATGTGGTAATACAGAATAACTAAGGGACATCTGTTAAGTTGTCTGCAAGGATTTTAAATGGTAGTTAAATGCATTATAAGAATACAGTACTATGTTAATCCACTATTACAGGTGACATGAACCAACCAATCCTTACCTAATTTTGATGAACTAATCTGACTTATCTTGATGGTGCTAGTTTAGGTCTGGTTAGATCATGTTAGGTTAATCATGGTTGATGCTGTGGAAGTTCTTGCCTGACCTGTTGTGCTTTGGTTGTTAGTGATATTTGTATTGTGTTATAAAGAAACAGTACTTAGTTGTGTTTAACAATGTTTAGTTACAATTATACTGAGCTGTTATGATCTGCTCTAACAATGTTTAGTTACAGTTATACTGAGCTGTAATACTATAATTTAGTTATATTTATGCTCTGCTGTGTGATAATGATACTTTATTTAGGTATACAGTACTTCTTTGCTGTAATGATATTTAGTTACATTTATGCTCGGTTGTAATAACTTTAAACTACAGTTAATGTCATTGTTCTAGAAACAGTTGAGCCTGGAAAAATGACGGGTGGCTGGGAAAATAAAGAATATGAAAATTGTGGAGACCCGAAGGAGGAAAGTGGCAATCAAGTTGACAGTGAAGTAGATGATAGTGATGATGGTGAAGTAGCTGAAGGTGATGGTAACAGTGAATTAGATGAAGGTGATGACAGTGAAGAAGATGGAGTGAATGAAGATGATGATGATGATGATGGAACCGAAGAAGATGAAGCTTTAGGCGAATCTGATGGTGATGAGGATTCTGAAGATAAAGATGAAGAAATGGAGGAAGAGGGTAGGCCAGTAAGTACTTGTATTAAAAATTGTAAGCATCACAAAGTCGCATTATCATTGGGCAGTCATCTGAACAAAATATCTTATTACTGTAGTTTATTGCTGTGATTAAACTCGTTTTAGTTCTGTGTGTCTGTCAATTCTGTCTCTTATCTTGAGTTCTCTTCCTTTTGTGTGTGTGTTTTTGTGTGTGTGTGTGTGTGTGTGTGTGTGGGGGAGAGCTAAAATGTAAAGTGTTCAAAAGCCTCAAGAAATATGATAGCAGATGTTGGTGTCTAATTTTCTGATGTCTGAAAATTTTAGGCATTACTTCCTGAAAGTTTGTGTGTTTCAATTACCATACCTACACAAGGTCTTCTTAATTGCTCTGTAGAAGTTAGTGTTCCCTGCTGTAAATGAGTTGTTTTCATTTCATTTTCTGATCAAATGGAATAGAAAGTGAACTTGTCTGTGTCTTGAGATAGTCATACACAAAAAGAGTAGAATCTCTCGAGTCCGTCTAGCTTGTCTTGAATCGGAAACTGTGTACAAATTTAATTTTTCTTTCAGAAGGGAATGAAAAGCAAACATATTGTATTTGAAGAAGATGAAGATTTAAAGAATCTACTCATTCCTGACACATTAGGTAAGTAGGAAAGTGTAGTAATACAATGCACAAATATCTTTGCAACAGTTTAATATAACAAATTATATACAGTATAGTCCTTTTAATGAATCACCTCTGTCACTAATTTTCAATAATGATAATGTTAAGAACTTACCATTGTTTTAACTTATGGCTTCTCAGTGCTTATCACATATTATCAACACTTTCAAATAGAAAATTGATTTTCAGTAAATGGTCTTTTATCCATATTGAATCAAACAATCTCAACCCCCTATTTTGGTATACTATACTTATATTCGAAATGGTTCAGGAGACCACAGTATTTGCATATGCCAACTGGTATAATTCCCATTTCATTTGTAATAATTATGTGACTTGGTGAGGTGTTACAATGATGGATATACGTAGTTATGATTTTTGGATGAGAGAAAAACTCTTAACAAGATTGGCTGTTTTAAATAACTATTTATGTGTTTTTTATTATTTATTATCTATCTACAGTGTATATATAGGAGGTACTCATAAATGTTATCTTAAAGTTAAGAGTAAGACAGTCCAGGATGAAGAGCCAGAAGAATCAGATTCAGATTCAGCTCCTGAAGAAGCCACCACCACTGTGGCAAAGGAACAGGCTGATATGGAAGACTTGAAGATAAAGAAAGAAATACAAAGACTCAAACTAAAAGCCAAGGAAGATAGAAAAAGGAAGCTAGAGAGAAACAAGCTCCAGCAGGCAGATAAGGTAAAGAGTGTTGGATTGTGTCCACTACCTACAGCTGCCTCTCAAAAACAATCAATAACATTCATGTCAAACTGATCTTTGATATTCACTTTCTGTGTATTTTTACTGAGAATGTTATTCCATTTTAATTTGTCCAACAATAATAAATGAGTTGAATTGTTTTGTATCCATTGACAATTTGTTTGTTTTTTTCAGCGGCGGCGCTTAGAAAAGTTGGAAATGAAACGATTACCCGAGAACCTGCTTGAAGCTGTAGTTGCAGAGCAGAAGACTCAAACCATACAGAAAGCAGCAATTCAAAAGAAAGAAGGAAATCATAAAAAATTTACTGATGATGATAATGATGTTGATGACCCAGTGGATGAAATCATTGATGGTGAGTGACCCTATGACTGAGAAGATGAATCTATTTCCTAATAAGCCCTAACACCATTAGGATAGGAGCCCTGTTCTAATCATTAGGACAAGGCTCCTAATGGATGCCAATCCTAATGTATAGGGCTAGGCTGATATCCTTTTGAAGTGAGTTGGTGTGACTGAAATATTTCAATGATCCCTCTTTTGTCTGGAATATTTGGGGAGAGGAGGGTCTAGATTAGCCAAAAGTCCAAACAATTGAAATCTAGAATAAAAAAAATGTGAGTTTATAGAAAAGTTTCCCCTTTTTAAGACATTGGCTCCCAGATGACCCCAGAGTGAGACACTATACAGTACAACATTCCAAATCAATGAACATTTTTTAAGCTATATTTAAACATTTTCTATCTTGACAAAACTGAAGTCTTATCTCTGAAAATTTTGTACTAACTATTTTTGGGGGACCTCGTTGTGGAAGTGGAATATCATAGCATAACACATTTTCTACTATGGTAAGAATGAATGCATGACATTGAATGAAAAGAAAATGTGTGTTTATATATTTACTCTTATTTCTGGATACGCAGCATGTCCGTGCTTTGCTGTCATTCCTTTGTTTAGCGATAATTTTGCTTAACGTTATGTTTTTCATGAACGTAACCCTATCATTTAATGAAGGATACCTGTACAAATAATGTTTCATGAATCTGAACAAGATTTTTTATAATGATTGTGATCCTGTGTTTTGCTTTATAGATGATTTTTTATCCTTGGAGCGTGGAGTTAAAGTACGGGCTTTGCAGCAGGAGACCAAAAAATACGCCTCCATTGCTGAGAAGGCAGCAGATTTCAGACAGAAAGCTCTCTATGGTAATAAATATAAAAGAATGGCAAGTATGTATCTAAAGAATTACTTTTCCCCTAAAAAAAATGTTTTCTTTAAATAAGATCATATAAATAATACTGAAGTAACTAGGATTTATTGGTTAGTCTAATTGCTGTGATTCAGATTTGAATTACAGTAATGGGAAAGTTTTTAATATTTTGAGATTAACTACCAAGTGGTGGTATCAGTAATAGAAGTAGAATTCATACTAGGGACTAAAAAACTTATGTTTCAAAAATTGGGTAATGAATTATTTTGAACATTTTAAATATTAATGAAGGTTGTTGGTAACCAGGTTATGTACAGTAGCTAAAACATCTATCTGTGCATACTTTGTGAGAAACAATATGAGACCATGGACGATAAATTTTGGTATATGAGGGCTGTCACTAGTCATACGTAAAATTTTGGAGCATATCAACCCCCACCTGCTCAGATAGTTGTTTTTAGCTACTGTACATGAAGGTAAATTAATGGTTTAACCCTTTTCAGCCTGAAATAAGATTCTGATTCTGATGCTAACAATTCCTAGATGTGTGTAAAGAAGCATACATATACCCTGTATAAAATTTTAAGAAGGGAATACTGTATCTGTGTTTGTCAGAGCAATTTTATTTTTAATCGTAATTTCAACATTTACCGTTTAAATTGTTTTTCAAACCATGTGATTAACGATAAGTTTGTTTCAGGTAAAGAACTGAATGAAATGAAGATAAAGCAAGTGAAAAGCGGGAAGATTGCTCTAGTCACAAGAAAATTAATATAACTTTGGTTTTTCTGTCTATCATCTGTGGCAACATTGATAAAAATTGTACTGTACTAAGTTTTGTTAAATATTCTTATAAATATAAACATATGTTTATTAATTATCCTTCAATAATTCATACTAATTAGGTTGTTAGTTATATAGATGATTAATTAATGTGTTATTTCAATAATTCTGTAGTTAATGATATTAAATTAGTTATTAATCTATCTAGTGATTTAGTTCATTATTTAATGGGTTATTTAGTTATATAGTTGGTTAATTAGTAATCTAGTTACCAAGTTCAGTGTGCCTATTCCTGCGGACGTCTTTGATTTTATTATCACAGGAGTAAAAACAGATGAGACTTGATAGTCCAGGTAATCTGGCCTCCAGCCCCAAGCACAGTTAACATGATCTAACCTCGACCCTGTCTGGTGGAGTGGCCATTAAGGGAGTTGGTCAAGATCTGAATCCCCCTTAAAGAGTCGTGGATATGCCCATGTCTGTTGTTGTAGGAGTCAGGAGCTGTTGTCTTGTGATTAATACTGATGGTAGAAGAATTTCCTTGTATTATTTGATGACTATTTCCTCTATTAAATCCTTCAGAGCTTGGAAAAACAAAGGAGGTTTGCATGTCCACATGGAGGATCAGAACACACACACCGTCAGTAAAGTGTCTTAATCATTCTATGCAGGTAATCATTTATTTGTGTTTTTTATAAGGCTTTCAGTGTACAGTACACAGTCTGTTTCTCTTGTTGTATTGCTACTCATAACTTCTCCATCAGCAAAAAGTGTATTGAAAAAGTAAACATTTTTATTAATTTTTTTCTTAATGTACAGTACTTGTAATTACCTATAAATATGAACAAAGTATTAAACAAAGTCTTTTCCATTGTCTTAATAAAACAACATCATTTGTAGTGGACACATGTAGCAGCCTCCATTTTATACCAATTTGATTGGTTCTTTGGCTAGGAATCACAATTAGGTAATCACCCAACCTCTTTTGTTGTTATAATGTTATTACTGCACCTCAACAACTAAGGTCTTTAATTGCTTAACAAGGTTAGTAATACACCATTCAAACAACAATTAAAAATAGTGAGAGATAGAACTGTGTGTAACCGATCTTCAAAAAAGTAAACAAACATTATGCAACCATGATGTACTGTACTTGGGATTTAATGCATTCTCTCATACAGCCATTCATCGTTTCCCCGGTAATGATTTTTATATAAATTTTTTTTCAAGAGTACGCAATCACTCGTGATATAAAACCTTAAAGGATTGGTAAAAACTGCTCGAGAATGTTTAAGAGTGGAGGACTGTGGTCGTGAACCCTCAGATATGCGGATGGTACTCTGATAGATTTATATATTTACTGTGTTATCGGTAAAACTAAATCAGATAAAGTGCTTTGTTGGGAATTAGCAAAGATAACATAATCAATTTTAATAATCAGGGATTTTTTGTTTGATAATATAGATAAGTCTAAGCATTCTTTATATGGCTTAATAGTGGTGTAGTTGGTAGGAGTGAGTGAAGTTTGTGGGAGCACTAACTTAGAACCCTGCTGTTCAACAAAGGTCTTGTTTAGTCTACCATTCAAAATGGAGTTGGATGAAAGTAAGTTCATCAAAAAGAAATACAGTACTTGTGTATTTGTAGGTGTAAGTGGAAGTTAACCCTGTTACTGGCTCAGTGAAAGACTTGTAAGTATTTATTATTTATCATTAATTGCTGATGATTCTTATGTGTACAATATTCTATTATGGACGATGGTGTCAGACCTCTGTGTCTAAGTCTCCACTTGCTGGACGATAATTAGTACTGAATTAGGCAAACTAGTGGTGCATTGTGTCCCTTACTATACAACGTGGACCAGACGTCCCTTGCCCCTAGAGCATCAAACCTCCAATTCCTATACCTCTGGGATATTAGTGACTTCGAATTTAACTGCAAACAAAAATGTCCTTTTAAGAGCTCTGATAAAATTTTTGGTTTCATTATACATTTATTCTCATTACCTTTTGTTAAATAAAACAAAGTTTGCCACTTGTATCACACTGGATAATTCACATTGACTTTTTTCAGAATGATTGAATTATAATTACGGTATCTAATGAACAGTAATTTTTTAACAATAAGAAAATCCTCTCTTTACTAGGCCTATTTGTGAAAGTTGTGAACAGTTCCATAAATATAAGACAATGTTCAGAGAGATTATACAATCAAGTGATGGTAAATTAATGTATTTTATTTTTCTCAGTAAGTCTTTGTTCGTTGTGAAAAAGCTGAATAATTTCAACTGTCACCGCTCAATAAAGTTCGTAGCAAGCAACAAAGAACAGACCAACCTCCAGAATAGGATTTCAGGCGTTGAATGAGGTTGGGAGGGGTCTATACATCGGGGCCTTAAGGCCAGGAGGCATGATCAAAACAAATATTTACAAGTCAACCCTTGGTGTCATGTATCACAGGCAGGGTAGGCATCGCTCCCTGTATAGTCTGAATGTTAGTAAACCAAATTAAAAATCTACAGCAAGCTGGCGGGGATATACAATTGTTATACTACTGATACTGTACTGAAAAACGCTGGATATCAACCTAATTTATGAATATGAGTCAGTGAAACAAACTTTCATGAGGGTAAAATTAAAGTTTCACACAAGAAATTTAGTGATTGTAAGTTTCAAGACCCATTATTAGCTTTTCATTTTCCACATGTTACATATTCTTAATGGAGTTCCTTAACTTCTTTTCTTACTCATGACACTTGTGTCTTTTCTGAACAAAGGCATCAGGCTCAGTTATTGTGAATATTCTTAAGCATGTTGGTAACAAAATGCACATCCAGCAGTGATCTTTTATTTAGTTTAAATTCTTTTTAGCTATTTCTCTTCACCATTGAGGTCAGCATGTATGGTCTACTGTTGGGTCAGAGTTAGCGGGAGTTGTGATAATACACTATCTGGTTCCCTGATAAGAGGTGTGTACACACTGATCCGATAATCAGTATTAAATCAATAAGCAGTATCTCTCATGGTCTAGTTCAAAGTTGTTTTGTTATGTCACGCGAGAGCATTTATTGTAACACACACAGGTGGATAATAATACTATGTATATTGTGTAATAGATGTTCTACACATTTTAATATACACCAATTTATATGAAACATTTATATGTTACTTTGGTGTTTAGGCAGTAAGAAGTAACAAACTTCAATTAAAAATTATTAATTTTAAAGATTATTAGGACACAATAATAAGAACACTGTATATTAATAATAATAATAATCACATTAATTATAATAATGATGATAATACAGTGTAGTAATAATAAAAATAATTTAACCTTATAAAATATACAAAGGACATTTTATAATATTTACATGTAACTAACAGGCTTTATATGGCAAGGACTATTGTATGGGTCAGATGCGTGGACACTTTCGACAGACACCAGAAAGAGGTTGGAGGCTTTTGAAATGTGGTGTTATTGGTGGATGCTAAGAATAAGCTACATCGACAGGAAAACAAATGAAAAAGTAATAAGATTAGCCAAAACTTCAAGAGAAATACACAGAAAAAAAAACTGAGATAATTTGGTCATACATACAGTAATTGGGGATGATGGGATGATAACAGAAATATTAGTGGGCAAAGTTGAGGGTAGGAGAGTCAAGGGAAGGCAAAGACTGAGATGGCTGACTAAAATTAAAACCTGGGTCCCCAGAGAGATACAAAATCTTGGAAGATTTGTGAAAACAACCCAAGAACGTTTAGAATGGAGGACTATGGTCCCCAACATTCAGATATGAGGCCGGTACAGTATTATGATTGAACATCGTACATGCAGATTTCACACACAGTATAATCTGGGTTGAGTAATGTACTAAAAAATGGCCACTTCTGTTAGAGTGATAACTGATAGAATATTTATATTTGCCTTATTTACCTAATAGCCACCCAAACTAGAGGTGGCCATGCTGAGAGAAGGAGGCCATTGGCCTGTGTATGATTCCTCCATTGTTCTTGATAATTTTGTCAAGGGCTATTTGAAGCCCAATGAGCTTGAAGTCATGTCTCCTCGTGCTAGTGGTGCATGATGCTTTTGTCAAGTTTTGGATCTGTTTGTCATATTTGGGGAATGGGTTTCGAGTTACAAATCATATACAAGTAACATAGTGATACAAATAAGATATATAATAACTATATGGGGAAAAGCTCAAACTACAGTGCATTTCAACATAGTGACAGTGCAAGAAGTAGTATTTACTGGGAGTGAATACACTGGTTTATTACAAGTTATTGATAAGTTTTACAATGGTTGGGACTGGGCTGTTCTTATAGCGATCAGTTCGTGCACTTATGGGCTGGATGCGGTTGTGGTGTCGAACAGCAATTCTCGGGCTAGGGATCTCAGGTGGTAGTAGGAGCCGGTGTCGAGGATGGTGTAGAAGCTTCTTACCAAATTTGCAGATGAGGTTGTGGTGATGGTCAGTGAGAGTCGAAAGGGTCAGTGTGTTGAGCGCTTCTTGATATGTGGAGTAGGAAGGGGAGAGAATGATCTTGCATGCCCTCTTTTGCACTTTTTCGAGGTATTTACGTTATGTGGCATTTAGGGAGGAAGACCAGGTAGGGGAGGCATAGGTGAGCTTGGGAAGTATGAATGTTGTGTAAACACTGAGGAGCTCGGGTGCAGGAACTCCGAGGGACTTGAGTCGGCGGAGGAGGTGGAGACGGAAACTGGAGGATTTGACAGCTTTATTGACCCGGGGTACACGCACATTTGTCCACACACACTTTCGAACTCTGATATAAGATTATATAACCTCATAAAATGGACAATAATTTCATATATTTTATAATATCTTATATATTTGTTATTTTTTTCGTTTTTTTTATTTATTCCTTTTTATGGCGGTTAAAGTTGATGGAGATGCTTATTATGGATACACACATCTATACTGTTCCTTATCAGGTCTCACTATCTGTCCATGTTTAGTGTCTGAGCTTGAAGTAATACCAGGTAGTAATTTGTTCAGTGTCCACTACTGTCACTGTATAACAAGAATCACTGTACATTGTCCTTAATATTCATGTTGTAAGAACTAGCTTTCCCTTATGTAAGTTTCATTGCACTATAATACTGATTTATGCCCTAGCATTTATTACTACTGGTACTTAATAGTAATGAAAATATATGCATAAAAGATCTGATTAAATTTGGAACCTATATATACTCTGTAATGCTATGACTTGTTCACTTTATTGGCAATGACTTTTTTTTTTTTTTAGACATAATATGTGTGTCATCTTACTCCTGTACTTTACCGCAGGTGACGGGAATATTGTGCCGAGAAATAGGAAACCTTCATATGTCATCAAATGGCCGGACATTCCTCACAGCAAATTAGTGACGCTACTCTTTCTCTTGGACAATGGTGACAAGACCACAGGCAGCATGGACACATACCGCAAATGGAATATTGGCGCTTCACTTGAGGCCAAAGAAGCTTTCCTCTCGGTTTTAAAGGCTAATAAATATAGTTTTTGGCAAGTTCTGGAGGTGTTGCGTAGACGTGTCAAGGAGCTGGTGCAGTATCCATTCATAAGACTGGAGGGAGATACTGAGGCTGCTAATAGAGCTGTGAGAAAGCAGGACGAGTATCTCTTGACCATGGTTGAGGCCTGCCGATACCTACATATTGACTGCTTCAACCTTGAGAACAAGATCAAGAAAGTCCAGGAAAAATTGTTCCTTTCGGAAGAGGAAAAGATGGGAAAATTCTTTTTATATGCTGAAAATTTACAGATGAAGCACATATGTGACAGTTTAACACCCAGCCTTGTCTGCCAACTACTGGATGTTTTGAAGAGAGACAAGAACCTCAGTAAACTGATCGACAAAAGTATAGATGTTCCTCTAGATAAACTGAACAAGATTGAGGGACTGAAGGAGGCCTTATTCTTCTATATGATAAGGGTCTTAGAGGATAATGAGAAACTGAACCGTTTGTACACTGGCAAACTACAGGAACTCCTGAATAAAGTGAACAAAGAAACCAAAGATGAGCATGAACAGCGCACTATTATGACGATAGTCAACGCCCTAGATGTATATCCCATACAAGGTCGACCGGCCGGCCACTGTGTCGTGTTCTGCGTTACTAAGGACAGGGAAGGGTCACAAGGGGAAATAAACAAAGTCAAAAGGGTTTTCAGTGATTCTTTGGGCTATACAGTCCATATTGAGAAAGATCCAACATACAAGACTTTGGAGGAATATAGGAAGACGCTACAGAAGCAGAAATATCACTTCTATGACTCCATCGTGTTCTGGTTCATGGCACACGGCACCGAAACCAACATCAAGCTGGCCGACGGCTATAGATACAAGAGGATGGATATCATTGACAGTTTCTCCAGGCTGGATAACTTCAGGAAGAAACCAAAGATCTTCTTCATGACTTCTTGTCGAGGCCGTGCAACAATTTCTATTAGAGAGAAAGGTGAGTGTTGTTCTAACTGGTGTTTGACATGGTTAACACCACTTTTCTTATGGGGGAAAAAGTTATTAATATAACATTCCTAACTGTTGATTTTGACAACTGTTAAAGCCAGTCATGTGATCTTTGTTCTGTCATGGTGGTTACAGTTCTTTTAAAACAAGAAAATCGAACCAACCAAACCTATCTTAACAATATTTAATGTAACATAACTGATATACAGTATATTTAAAGCCTTTAGGCTGGGTAAGTAATGTTAGCAAAGGTTAGGTTGGGTAGGGAAGATTTGTTTTGCTTGGTTCATTTTGCTTGTTATAAAAGATGGTTTGTACAGTTTTCACCAAAAATAAATCTGGAAATTGTCAAGTTTGATAAAATAGAAGACGATAAATAGAATATCATTTCCTTTAAGATGTTTTTGTAAAAGAAATGTGATAGGTTAAAATCGACTGATATACAGATTAGTATTTTGACAATACTTTATATTATACAGTTTATAGGCACAACAAGTCTGGTGTGTTCCATCAAAATGATGCAACAGAAAATAAAAATCACGTCATGGTGTCCTTGATGATTTTTTTTTCATTTTCTTCCATGTGTAATACAGTACTACCTGTCACTTACCTGATCTCGACTCCACAATCACGTCATAATAGATAAACAAAACTATACCTGACAGTCACAAGCCTGTTATCTCATGACCAGCTTTAGACAAATAATTATGACTGTCATAATAGTCACCTGTCACTTGTTAGGGTTTGTTGTGCGGGTCCTCTCTGCCGTGTGGTCTGATATTATCCCTTTAATATCTGTACATCACGAATCATCAGAGGCAGACAAATCTTTAGTGTTCCTTTATTAGTTAGGTTAAGTTACATTACATTTGATTAGGTTAGGTTTGTTCTGGACTAGAGTTTTGGACCTATTTATAGCCTTAAGTGTTTGTTTGTTTTTCTTTTGTTTTATTTGTGCGTGTGTGTGTACTGAAGATACAGTATATATATGTATATATGCATCAGGGCCTGGCGGGCGAAAATTTAATAAAAATTATATATAAAAATAATAATATTAACCATAAATAAATACAAAAAACGAAAAAATAAATCGAGTGAGAAATGATATACAGTATGTATGTTGTGTTGTCAATAGTAAGAGAAACAATTGAGACCCTGCAATTGTGTGTAAATGAGGCAGAAAGACAGATCAGCAACCTGGGACTTGGTCACAATTTTTGTGATGCCATATGGCAGCAGGGTCTACCATTAGACAATACATTATGCTTCCGATATCTTCCCAGGTGGTAGTACCTCCCTGTTTGGTAGCTGCCTACTACCTACTACTTAGTGTTCCTTGTAACTCATTAACAAATATCTTTCTCATGTGATGTTGTGCTGGACTACTCTATCTGGACTGTCTTCATCTTTATGTTCATCCATGTTAGTTACAATGGGTGATGGAGGTGGTGGACGCCAGCAATTATTTTCTTAATGTGAAGTGTATTACCCCCAAGAAATTGCGTGTCTAATTATTTATATCCACTGGTTTTCTTGCATCCCTTTATCCACCTCCTTTCTTAATATCCACATGCCCAGTTAGATATTGTGAGAATATCGACATTTCTACATGTTATGCATTTCAAACCATCCACTGAGCTCCATACCATCACTTGAGTGATTGTCTACCTAGAGTCGTATATATTCTACAATAATTTTCTCCTTCCGAGGCGGCGTGCGGGTGGCGGTGGACGGTTCCCACGAGGGACAGACTTACTCAGTCATCCCTGAGCAGTGTTGTAATATCACTGCCGTCTACTACCAGATGGACCGCATCATCGCCAGCGCCACCCTCCCCGAGCATTACGCCTTCAGACTCCCTGATGGAGGTGAGTGTTGCTGTTTGGACCGAAGAGGATGGTTTGTGAGGTCATGTTTGTGTTACGGCATAAAATAAAACAATTGTACTTTTTGTTTGTCAGTTTTAGTTTTTCTTTCTTAAAATCCCCCAAAAGTCAGATTTATGACATACTTCAACAAAAATACATACACTTGTTTACTGTGCAGGCAAACTGTCGGGTGGATGACCCCCCCACACACTCCAACTCTCCAGATATATACCAAGTAATCTTAACCTAATCGAGCTGAGCTTAGATTAATATTGATCACAATAACTGATAAAAAGTAACCTTTAAGCAGCTTTCTGTGGTGTCAAGGTTATCCTGTAATGCTCCTGTTTCCCTCCTTCAGGTTCAGTGTATGTGGATACTGTGTGTCGTCTTCTAGAGCAGCACCGCGGCCACAACTTCACACAGGTGCTGGAGAGAGTCTGTAACAAGATACATCAGATTCTCTTCTCCTGCCATGAAAAATTCCCGGGTGAGGCCAAGCAGGCGTGTTACTATGAGAGCACCTTCCAGAAGACCTTCATTGTGCCCGGGACTCCTAAAGCCACATATTACTAACACCTCCTGCACCCACTTACTGACATTTCCTCAGTACACCTGTTGCTAGAACTCCTGAAGGAAAATAATTGTGAGGCTTTGTGAGGAAGAGAAGGTAAATTCTCCGGATATAAATTGTTGTTTGGAGTTTATTAAAAACTTGTACTGTTGACTTGTTACTGGAAATCCTGAGGGTAGGTTCTGCAAAGGTATTCAGTGGGAACTCATTGCCGAAAATTATCGAGGAAATTTATCCCCCTTCCTTTCCCTATATCCTCCTCCCTTCCCATTTTTCCCTTTATCTCCCTCTTCCCCTTTATCCCCCTTTCTTACCCTTTATTCCCTTCCATCCCCATTTCTTACCCTATACCCCCTTCCTTCCCCTTTATCCCTATCTCTTCCCCTTTACTCCCTTCCTTCCCCCATAACCCATCCTTTTCCCCTTACTCCTCTCATCCTCATTACCCCACCCCATCTCTTTTATTCCTTCCTCTCCCCCATCAGACTATCAGACTGTAGAACACTACAGAAGACAATATTTTCTTTCATAAAATGTTACTGTATTGAACAATGATACAACTTTGAAGTTCAATGTTTTATTTATTAATAAGTGCACAAAATGTTACAGCTGAAATTCTCCAGTTTATGTCCTCAGCTATCATCATTGTTGTTTTGGTTTATCAGTATTTTCTTTGGTGATGTTTAAGAGATTTCATGTAATTTGCTCTCCATTACAATCACCGTAACAAAGGAAGTAAAATACAAGATTGAGAAGCATTTTATCAGGAACATTTCTTAAGTCTCCACACAACACTTGACAATAACTGATCACGACAGAATTTTACACAGTTAATTGCCATGAAAATCTCTCGTGTATCAGAAATTTTATGTGTTCTTTTTGACCTGTTATGTTGCACAGGTGAGATCAACAACTTACCTGCAAATAAACACACAGGCACTGATATTCACAGACACACAGACACAAAATTACATGCACACATTAAAGTACACAGAAACAGATACATACACATTCATAAACACACAAGAAACCAATGATCAGTGAATTGATTACAGTAAGTCGAATATAAAACCTTCCACATAAGTCATGTTGCTGATCACACGGAACTAATCATCAGGTCTTGCAGCTGATCACACAGAACTGATCATCAGGTCGTGCTCAGCTTGGCTGGTGGCTCCTGAGGGATGGTCACTTGAGTGAAATCTCAGGAGTAAAGGCCCAGATGATTGATTTCTGGGCAGGTGGTGCTTCTTCAGTGCCTTTGGGTCAAAGGGCTGGATGCTAAGTGGCTGAGAATTGGAGTGGTGAGATCTTGGTGTTTGAGGGGTACAGAAGTGAGAACTGGTGCACTCAGGGCTTAGTGGCAGAGGGGTCGGCATCAGAGAACTCATTTGCTGTGAGTTAGGTGTCTGAGGGCTCATCAGAAGAGGACTGGGTGTGTTGGCGCTCAGCCTGAAAGAGAGGGAAGGTTCGAAGATGATGGTTCCCCTGGTGCTCTTACGGTGGGGGCTGCCCGTCTGGCTCAGCTGCCTCATACGATACTGCCTCCACCGCTTCCGAAGCAGCTCCTGCACCTCCCCGTTGACGAAACAGTACAGGACTGAGACGAACACGCCCTGCAGGGGTAAACATAACCATGGTCATATAACAGTAACTCACACAGACTAGGACAACAAGAGGTAGTTGCCAGAACAACAAGAGGAAGAAGCCAGGACAACGTGAGGAAGAGGCCAGGACAACGAGAGGAAGAGGTCAGGACAACAAAAGGAAGAGGTCAGAACAACAAGAGGAAGAGCCCAGGACAACTACAGTGCATTAGGAAGCCAAAACTCACCTGGGTGGACTGCAGGATGGCATTGGTCAGCATGTAAGCGCCCTCCAGGTTACCCTTATCGCCAGGGTTAATGGCGAACAACATATTAGTAATGCCGAGTAGTGGAAACAACACTGCCGTCGCCTTGATCGCCTTCCTGTACCACAACACAAACACAGGTACATATGTTGCATAGATACATGGACTCTGTGTAACTAGGAATTTCATGTAATTCCCAAAATAATCAGGAATTTCATGTAATCCCTAAAATGTGACTGTTATTAGGCATTAACTTACTTGAACAGGAGGTTAGGAGTTGGTTAGGTGAGGAGAGGTCAAGTTAGCACTAGTGAGAGTCAGGAGATGTTAGTAGAGCTGAAGAGGCTTGGGTCAGGAGATGTGAAGTTAGGACTGGTGAGGGCTGTAGTAGGTCACAAGAGGGTTGAGTCTGGTCAGGAGAGGTCAATTTAGGGCTGGTGAAGACACATGATGGGTAGGTGAGTGAGGGTGGAGGGGGGGGTGTTACCGTACCTGACCTGAGCGTCGCTGGCCCTCAGTTTGGTCACAAGGATCCTCACGATGTTGATGAGAAACAGGAGGTTGATCTGTAAACACGAGGCAGAAGAGGAAAATATATAATACGGGTGACACTACTATGTTAAAGAATTCGGTTAAGTAGGGTTTAGTTCAGTGGGTAATGCTCACAATTGTAAATGATTAGTTGCTGTAAATTTCAGTTAATACTCTCTCTCTCTCATAGCTGATTTTTCTTTCGTTTCCAGATAATAATGTTAATATTTTTGTCTTGTACATTGCGAGGTGTTTCTTCTTTGTTTGTGTTGACCTGCTGAGGCTCCAACATTACTAACAGCCACCATGCTGCCACAACTCCATAATATATACGTATGCAACTTGAAAACTGTCCAGATCAGAGGAAATCCAGCATGGGAGGACCTACCATGGTGGTGGTAACTATGGGAGGGCCTACCATGGTGGTGGTAACTATGGGAGGACCTACCATGAGGGCAGTAACCATGAGAGGACCTACCATGTGAGCAGTAACCATGGGAGGACCTACCATAAGGGCAGTAACTATGGGAGGACCTACCATAAGGGCAGTAACCATGGGAGGACCTACCGTGAGGGCAGTAACCATGGGAGGACCTACCATAAGGGCAGTATGGGAGGACCTACTGTGAGGGCAGTAACCATGGGAGGACCTACCATAAGGGCAGTATGGGAGGACCTACCGTGAGGGCAGTAACCCGGGGAGGACCTACCATGAGGGCAGTAACCATGGGAGGACTTAACATGAGGGCAGTGATCATGGGAGGACCTACCATGAGGGCGGTGACCATGGGAGCCACGAGGATCCAGACGTAAGGCAGATTACCATAGCCTCGCCAGCACTGGACGGGATAGTGAAGAGCCATGGTGGTGGCCCAGGCTGCCAGGAACACCATTGGCCATCCTGCAACACAAGAAACGAAGTAAAATACTATTCTATCTTCATCCAAATTGTAAAAAAATAAATAAATAAATAATAATAATTCGTGACGTCGCTGGCAATTATAATGCGATTACCAAAAATAATAATATCTAGTGACTCACCCCAGCCAATCATGTAGTAGAGGGTGAAGGGCGCCCCAGAGTCGAACACGTTGGAGGTAAGTCTGGAGTGTAGGAACAGCCCCTCGACAAACATCCAATTGATGGAGGCCATTTGGGCGTACATCGTCAGCGCCAGCAGCGTCTTACACAACCAGTCCTGCAACATTATAAGTTAGTCAAGATCTTTTCCCCATGTACTCAGTAGTGTCTAAGTCGATTACTCACGGTTGAAAGACAAGTGTTTACTCCAACTCGAAATGACGACTCGCTCACTCGAAGCAATGACATGTCTTTCAAAAGTTTTCAAATTATTAATAATTTCTAACTCTGAAAAATGTGAACGACTTTTGTGTTTTTTTCTCGTGATTATCGTTTATTTATTTATTTATGACTACAGGGTATATTTTTATGCTTAATGACGTCATATCCTCTTAACAAGACAAATACACGAGAATACTGGAACCATAGTGGTCATGTGGGTGGTATTGGTGGCCAGGGTGGTATTGGTAGTGACCAGAATGGTAATGGTAGTGACCAGAATGGTAATGGTAGTGGCCAGGGTAGTGATGGTAGTGGCCAGGGTGGTGATGGTAGTGGCCAGGGTGGTAATGGTAGTAGCCAGGATGATAATGGTAGTAGCCAGGATGATAATGGTGGCCAGGGTGCTAGTTCATTTCCTTTAATACCTGTACAGTACACCCTCCTCATATTGGTTAATCAAAGGACGTTTTTTTTCTTCAGTGTTCAATATAACTACAGTACACTTCCTATCTCGCCTCTTAACTCACCCCCTTCTTATTACTTATTCATCCTCTCCTTATTACTCTACCTCCTTCACTATTCTCCTTATTCCTCCTCCTTCATCTTTTTCTGTTTATTGTCTCCTTTATCCTCTCCTTCTTACATCTCTCTCTCCACCTGTCAGTCCTCCCTCCCATCACGTCTTTCCCTCCCTCCTCTCCCTCCCACCCCTCCGTCTGTATGCGTGTGTGGAATAATCTAAATCGGAAAAGAAACATGACCTCTAAATCACCCTGAGACTACACACACAATATATACACGTCTTCCTTCCTCTCATAATTCTTAAAAAAAAAATCACAGGAGAAAAGTATATAACCCTCACCCCGCCCCCACCCGTCCCCCACCCCCTCAGTTGGTATCCGAAAACGCACTTTATTCTTCTCGAGTCTTTGTGTAGATCTGACGCCATTCTGACTGACCATCTTTGTATCGTAGTTTCAAGTGGGTCATTTGGATGCATTCTAAAAAGCTATGGGTGATAGTTTAAGGCAAGATTATGATTTCTGTGTGTGTACTGTACTGATAACTTGGTAAGGCTGGGTAAGAAGGTGGGTATAGGTGGGTTATTGGGAGGATGAGTCTAGGTGGGCAAGTATGTATTTGAGTGGGTGGGTGGCTAAGGTGTGGTTAGGTGATAAGGTTGGTTGGGTGGTGTTACGACCGTGTCGTATTTTTCTATTTTTTTTTATATAACATGCTTCCATGTTCCATATTATTCCTGTAATGATGTGTTGTATTTACTATTATATAATCTAGTCACCTTAACCCTGTGCTGTTAAGGTTTTAACTGTTATTATTTGTTCAAACCCATTTTGTATTGTAACCAGTATTCTTTGTTCTCTAACGACCATCTGCATCGTTAAACGACCCACCGGCGGGTCGCGTGGCGGGAGCCGACCTTATATATAGGACCCACCAACTAACGTAGTGAGTTCAGCCCTCTTGTCATACAGTTCACATCCTTTGAGTGACACTTGTCACCTGTTACTTGTACTTAATTTATTTGTGTTGTTCCTGTCGCCACCAATGTGGTATATCTATGTGAGTACCTATTTATGTCCATCAGTATTTGCTTAGTTACATTTAAGTAATTCAGTGTTGTTTCACGTTAGTTAATTTCAGTGTTAGTTTTTATGTTTATGCAGTGTTAACGTAATCCAATGCTTTATTTTTATTCTTTTGATGTTTCGATGTTTAGTATCATTTGCGTCTTAAAAGTTTCGATGGTGAATCAATTTGTTGTGACAGCCTACGAGGCTCTTTAATGTGTTAATATTTAATTAATTAAATTCTTAAAGGTTTACTTTATTTATTTTTATTCCCTTTTAATTTACTTCACTTTATTTTTGTTTGTTTACGCCTAGACCTGGTTATTTAAGTAAATTAAGAGACGGCGTAACAGTGGGTAGCTGGATTATTATGGATGGGTGAGTGGTTGGGTAAGTTGGTGGGTTGGTAGGTGGGCTAGGGTGGGTCAGGTGATATGGCTGATTGGGTGGATCAAGTAATGAAACAGAGCGTGTATCTACTGTAGGCTAGGTGGCTGGGTAGGTAGGTTGGTGGGCTAGGGTAGGTGGGTCAAGTAATGAAACCTAGCGTATGGCTGGGCTGGGTAGGTAGGTTGGTGGGTTGGTAAGTGGGCTAGGGTGGGTGGGTGGGTCAAATACGCGTGGTTGAGCCCCCTGCCCTCCACCTGCTGGCTCCATTAAACAGATCTACGACCTCCAGGTGTTATGAATGAACTTGTAAACACTTGGGTATACTGTGTAACTGTTTTACTGCCGGGTTTGTGTTTCTGACATGTAGAACTATAACTCTGTTCGTGTTTGTGTGTGTGTGTTGTGTTTGCATGTCTGTGTGGTTGTGTCTGTGTTTGAGTGTGTGTGAGAGAGAGAGAGAGAGGGGTTCTTTAAGATGTGTGTGTGAGTGTGAGAAAAAAGCTATCCTTAGGAGCCCTTAACCTATATCGAGAAATCAGATATCTTTTTAGATACATACCACCTGAGGCCCCGAGGCATAACGAACACACACACACACACACACACACACACTTAATCACAAGCACAAATAATAGATATGTAAAGACAGAGACAGACACGCACACAGATACTGGAACACACAGAAAGACACAGACTCACCACGTCACGGTAGGTGGTGGTGTGGCGGTGAAAGATGAACGGCTCCGTCAGAATAAGCATCACTAGGAACCTGACGATGAGTGACACCACCAAGTTCCGGTGTACCCGTAGGCGGTCACACTCCAGGGTCCTGTGAGGTTAGGTGAGGTTAATATGTGGCATAATGAGGTTTTATGGGGGGAATGATGAGGCATTATGAGGTTTTATGAGGCTATTATGAGACGTTATGAGAAGCATTATGGAAGATGAAGTATGAAGCACAATATGAGGCATTATTTAAATACTTCAAAACTCGCGCTTAAACAAAACACTATAAAAATTATTTTGTCAGACTGATTACACACACCCACACAGGCCTTAAAATACACTACCAATATGTCAACCCCCCCTCCCTCTCCCCTTCCCCCTTTCCCCTCCCCCATTTCCCTTTCCCACCTTTCCCTCCCCTCATCTACCCCACTTTCGCCATCCCTCCTTCCCCACTTCCTTTCCCCCCCTCCCCCTTCCCCCATCCCTCCTCCCCCATCATCAACATTGGTATATATACAAGCATTGGAGTCATATTTCCTTTCTAGATTATGTAGTTTATTTATCAAACGGGTGAATAAAGTTATTCGCGTCAGTAATCGTTAAAGTCCATGTTTGTTGATCTCCCTCACAAACAGAGCAAGACCCTGGGCAAATATTTTCACTGTGTCGTCTGGAGGAGAGAGAGACGATGGATCAATATCAAGTGTTTAATGTTGATATGATAATTTACTTTTTTCTGGGGGGGGATATCTCTCTCTCTCTCTCTCTCTCTCTCTCTCTCTCGTATTTTTTTAGGATCTAGGGAACAGGCTGGCGAAAATGTAAAAAAAATCTTTATCTTTGAAAAATAAATGCCAGGATAATTGGATAACATTATGAAGACAACAGCAATGATCCCGCGATTATGGGGTTAAGACGTGAAACCTCCATATAACGGACTTTTCTCTATGTATTCTGTTAAATGGAGGGGTTTCATACCCAACAGACCCTTGATATAACGGACTTTCATATCTATATACTTCGTTAGATTGAGGTTTTACATTTAATGAACTTTCGATATAACGGATATTCCTCTTCATATAGTCCGTTAAATAGAGGTTTTACTGTGTACAGATTTCGAGCTGGAGTTTTACGTTATACCAAGTGAGCGTCGTCAGGTCACGGAGGGGAGGGAGGGAGGCAGTGAGAGAGGGGAGGGAAGGAAGGTGGGTTGTTATGTCATCTTATATGAATTCAATTAAAAATAATACAAGGAGTAAAGAAAAAGATACTCAATTATTTAGACATATGTGGAACCCTGATATAATTGTGTGTGTGTAGGGGGAAGTCACGTGAAGATCAATATATATTTTAAAGAGAACTAGGTATTCTCGTCATCAGGTTATATAATGATGGCACCATGAGAGAAAGATTAACTCCCCTCAGGATCAAAGGTGTGGATACCGTAAGGTTTGGATACCGTAAGGTTTGGATACCGTAAAATATCGTCAGCCGTGCGAGAAAGATCAAACACGATAGACCATAGACAGTCCCTTTTACCACCTTTAGGGGAAAACAAAGTTCACTGATTCTCTGAACTCAATTTTCCTTTTCCCTCTTTTTGGGGGGGGCTGATTTCGAAAGAGCGGGATGTTATTATGACATGATAGGTTACATGTACACAGGATATATAATACAAAAAAAGGGTATTTGTCGTTCTCACCACCTCAGCGATGGTAGCTGTAGACGCCTGATGATAATGATGATGATGTAAATAGTGTAGAGGTATTTAGAGAGGTTTTGGTAACACTCGTATAGATTTAAAGGACATCTTGTCATTCTAAATTCACCACTGTTCACATTCTTCTACCCATAACACCCTCCTCTTCCTCACATTCTTATTTTTCGCTAAGTATTACTGATAATTGGGCGTCTGTATGTCTGGCTGCCGTGTATTGTCTCGGTTATGTTATAAAATTTACCGGTGTTAATTTTTTTTTTATATCAGAACTGTAGATGTGGTTCCCTTATACCTTATAGTGTCTGGTACATGTGGGGTGTTGTTGTTTGGCACGCTCCGGCCCTCATAAGGTAAGGAGGATACCAGAACTCCGTATATTTGTCACATCCAGGCGTGTCAACAAGGCCTAACAGGAACAAGGTAAAAGTGACACTCGTCTCCTCAAATTTTAATGTTGCTTTATACCAGTTGACTGAGGCGACGGGACTTGGGATCTGTCCTCACACCCTCTAACCCTTTTTTACTTTTGGATGAACTGAATTGAAATAGTTTCTTTATTTACTATGAGTCATAAATATAAAAGATAACCAGAAAACTTTGCTTATAGATGATGATAAATACGTATCGTCATTCCCACCATATCGTCCTGGTGCAGTGGTACGTCGTGCAGCCGCTTGGGTTATTCAAACATGTTGCGAGAAACAAATCTTTTTTTTTTCAATGCCGTGGCGTCAAGACCAGCGGCAGCTTGTTAATGGAACAAAATTATTCAACAAGTCACCTCGGCTGGTGTGAACCCCCCCCCCTCCCCCCCCAACAGTTTTGTAAGACAGGTGTTACTCCTCTCTTGATCTTTGGCCGATTTCGACATTTTGATAAACAATTCCGAGAGAGACATGTTATCTCGTTCAATGTTTCTCTCTTCGTTACACACTGGCAAATGCTCAAATAAATTATTAACAGTAAATTACACTTTTCTACGTTTTGAAAAAGTTGCGATGAATTTACGAGTGTTTAATTCTGGTTGTCATCAGCACTGGCGGTCTGATGTTGACGGCCACGATGGACCTGTGTTGTCGAGACGAGGTTGGTTAGCAGGAGGGAGGGAGGGAGGAAGAATGTACCCACCATGTCTGATCCTCTCTGCCTCTCTCACTACCCCGACTTCCCTGGAACACTTCTCCCTGTTCCTTCTCCTCTCTCTCAATCTTTCCGAAACGAAGTGTGTGTGTGTGTGTGTGTGTGTGTGTGTGTGTGTGTGTGTGTGTGTGTGTTGGTCAAGCTTATCTAATTTTAGTTTATATTTACTTATCATTTCACTACTTCTTAGCTTGCTAGCCATTCGGGCGGTTGGTCTGTTCTTTGTTACTTTGTTATGACCTTTACTGTCAAGTGCTATTGTGAGTGACGAGGATATGAAGGTGATAAATTGAAGGTAGAATAAATGAAAATGACTATCACGACGATGTTGAAGACGGTGACTACAGAGAGCAAAATAATGTTTGTATATAATGAATGTGACACATGAATGAAAGGTGACACATTAGAGGACATCCATATTACAAGAGGACATACATATAATACGTGGTTGTGAGACTTACCTGAAGTATGTGAAGACGAAGATGGTAAGGATGAGGGTAAGGAGGGACAGTAGCGCCCCAATGAAGGTGATGTACCGCACAGCGTCCAGCACACCCGACCTGACCCCCTGAGAGAGAGAGAGAGAGAGAGAGAGAGACTGTATTTAATTTAGGTGTATCTGAAGGAGTTGTAGAACATATAAAGCATTACAACCTATGATTAACCGTATATATTGATATATTAAGACATTAACGTAAAAAAAGGCAAAACATCTAAAAGCTCAAGGAATATGGGACCTGAACCCCGAATTTAATGACGCCCCCTTACACCTACCGAGGCTCTAAAGACTCCATTGTAAGGTGAAAGAGGTGTCTAGGCTTGATAAATTTGCTGAAGGGCGTAAGAACAGGGACATAAACATCAGAATATGAGAAAATGAGGAGTCTGCAATAGGCCGGTTGGCCTGTGCATGGCAGCTCCTGTCGAGAGTTACTACCACTCTCTCCATCATCCATGAATCTATCTAGCCTCCTTTTAAAACTTTCCAGCGTTCCAGCACTTACTACAAAGTTGCTAAACTTGTTCCACTCGTCCACCACCCTATTTGTGAACCACTTCCTTCCTATCTCCCTCCTAAACCTAAACTTATCCAACTTAAAGCCGTTGCTACTAGTCCTATCCTGCTCGGATATTATAAGAACTTTATCTATATCCCTTTTATTGATTCCTTTCACCAACTAAAATACTTCTATCATATCCCCCCGCACTCTTCGTCTTTTTAGGGAATGCAAGTTTAGTTTCTTTAACCTATCTTGATATGGTAGGTTTCTAAGTCCCGGAATCATTTTCGTCATTCTTCGCTGCACCGACTCCAGTGAATTGCTATCCATTCTATAATGAGGGCACCAGAACTGAACCGCATAATCGAGGTGCGGCCTGACGAGCGCAATATATAGTTGCAATAAGACCTCTGCACTCTTATTACTTACACTTCTAGATATAAAACCTAATACTCTGTTTGCCTTATTTCGAACATTAACGCACTGTTTTCTAGGCCGTAGGTCCGGGCTTACAAGTACCCCCTAAGTCTCTTTCACAAGTCGACTTCTCTAGGTTGATGTTGTTAAGGCTGTATACATTGACAGTATTTGTTCTTCCAATATTAAGTACGCTGCACTTGCTGGTGTTGAATTTCATTTGCCATTTTTCTGACCACCCCTGCAGTTTATTTAAATCCTCCTGTAGTGCATTTGCATAATGCCCTGAATTAATCTGCCGCCCTATCGTATCTGGGTATACATGTGACAATAGATTTTTCTTTTAGTGGCGTTCAATGTTTTCCTAAAGACTTAAATCTGGGTCACATGGGGTTGTTTTTTATTGGCGTTCTGTGAGGGATTTCATCAAAATCTTCCACACCTGTTGCTCCTTAACCCACACACCTGTCCTACACCTCCGTCATGGTACACAAATGCGTCACAACACCCAGACCTGCACACAGTTGCCCCAACTTTGTCCTACAATGCTGTTAAAAATTTTGGTGTTGCATACTGACGTAAAAGATACCCACGTGCAATTTTTTGAAGATTCATGCATATTTGAGTGAGCACCAGCAATTTGAAAAATAGCGATTTTGCTTATACGGCATACGCGCCTATATATGAGATTACTCAACCATCATAAGGGATATTAACACAAATCATTTGCCTGTCTTAATTAAAAGCTGTTATCACTAACACAAAAAATTTAATCATCCTTATTCTCTCATGGTACATTAAGGGGTTTTATCATATATTCACAAGGTATTATTTCTCTAGAGGAATAAACCATGATTTCTGTTCGGAAACAGATGATCGTTTGCGCTGATTACGAACGCGGAGTCTGTCATTTTCAACTACTTGAAGGACTTCTTGAAAGCGCTCTTCATCCGTGGCAACATTAAGAAAGTCATGGCGAAATTTTACACCACTCTCTGCAGCCTCATTGACGACCTGAAGCTTGTCCACAACCCGTTTCATGTTCAGGTAGTCGTCATGATCCGCCCATTCACTGGCTGGACTGTGGAGAAACTGATAGGGCAATGGTGAAGAACCGGCTTGAGTCAGGTCCAATTAGGTCCACCAGGGCAGTGCCACTTTCTGGGACAGGGGGAAGATATGGCTTTCCATAGCCCCCATGATTGAGCCCCACTCTCTTAGTAACTTTAGTGCCTTCATGGCAAAGAAGGGCCTTCCTCATCTCCTCTTTTGTCCTTTCTTGTACTTGGGACGAGAACAAAGCCAGTGGGGCCAACTCCTCAGTTAGGTACCAAGTGCGTCTACCGAGTGCCACACGTGCTTTGTCAACTATTGTGGCGTCATATGGGGCAAATTCAGCCAAGGTTTCGACCAAATTCAAGTCATTTAGTGGCTCACTTGCTGGAACGGGGCAAACAATCCACCATGGGACATAAACAGCGACTGTGAACACAGCAAACCGTTCTAACTTGCTGATTTGACTTTTAGTCACAACCTCGGCTTTGGGAAACTGCTCTTTGATCTGGCCTGACAAAAGAACAATCTTGAGGGTATAGAGCAGTTTAGCCATCCACCTTGCTTTATAAAGTGCGCCGGGGTAGACCATCGTGAAGTTCACTGGCTCGGATCCTTTAGTTACAAGCAGCAGACAAAGCTCTACCAGCTCCTTGTAGTCGCCACGTGTAAATGGTTGGGCTAGAGATTCACGGAAGAAGTCAGCCATCTCCTGCTGGCGCTCCTCAAACACTCCAGGCATTGCGGGGTAGTAGTAGTAGTATTTCTTTTTTTCATTGTACGCCAGTTGAGAGAAATGGGTCTTGAACCTAGAAATGCAATTATTGGGATTATTGTATTTCGTACTAATCTATAATATTGTTTTAGGGGTATTAAGATTGATATGATCGATCATTTGCTTGGTGTTAGTGTATCTTGTAAGTCTTAATAAAAGAAATCCCACTAAATTTGTTCATTAGATAATAATATTCCTCGTTATTTTGTAAAGCCGACGGTGCTAGTTCAAACATGCACCGATCTCCAAGAAAATTTACAGGGGTGTTTCCTAGATAAATACACAACACTAAAACTTTGAACAGCATTGTAGGACCATTTGTTTTTATTTTTGGAGGGTAACGGTCACACCCTAATCCCCACCACTCACATCCCCGCCACCCGCACTCCTTCCCTCACTCCTCATACACCATCCCTCACCTCTATACACACACCCTTCATATTTTTTCACTTTCAAAGCTAAATAATTATACACAAACTCAACTTTCATTCACTCTTAAGTCAGTAGCGAGTTCCAAAAAATATTTCCTTGTTAATCTTGATATGACACCTTGACCTGTAGTGACCTGGCCTGACCTGGACTGACCTGTAGGAAATGGACTGACCTGAAGTGACCTGGACTGACCTGGTTTTCTATGACGCTGAGACACTGGGAGTAGTTGGTCCAGCCGCCCCTGAGCCACGACCCTGTACCGTCACACTCACGGTACGCAAACGCTGTCGGTGGAGTGGTTATGGTACAGTGGTTAAGGTACAGTGGTTATGGTACAGTGGTTATGGTACAGCTATTATGTTACAGTGGTTATGGTTCAGTGTTTAAGGTACAGTAGTTAAGGTACAGTGTTTAAGGTACAGTGGTTATGGTACAGTGGTTATGGCACAGTGGTTTAGGTACAGTGGTTATGGAACAGGGGTTATGGTACAGGGGTTATGGTACAGTGGTTATGGTACAGGTATTATGATACAGTACTGCTTCAGTAACTCGAATTTACATAACCGATAACGTATAACGGGGAGGGAGAGGAGGAGAGGGGGTAAAGGGTGAGCCCCATCTGTGTGGCTTAGAATGACAGACGTTTAGTGGAACGGATATTACCGATCACCCTGGTTCGATTGATGGTGAGAGAGGCGCGCGTGTGTGTGTGTATGTATGTAACCCTACCTTAACTATAGATACATTCACTGATCATCTGTTAAGAGAAGACAACATATTATTATACTTTTAATCTGATTCTTCATTTATTATACATTTGTTTTTCCATGTTGTTATATAGGGAATCTGACCACAGGGCTGACTGACACCTTATATGGTTGATTACTGTTGCCCAGGAAAAATCCCTCGTCTATTATGTGTAAAATGTTCGTGTGTCTGTACTTCCGTTGTTGCTCGTTAAGGTGTTCTTTCAACCACGAAATCGGATTAACGATGTGATGTTATAATCGGGTTTCTATTCTTTTGTATAGTTCTTGTTCTGTTCTTGTATCGATATGGTTATTATACCTATGTTCTCGTATCGTTATTTCTGTGCTGTGTGACTTAAAAATAATTAATTACAATTAATTATATATGATTATTAAATATATCCGTAATTAAATTCCTCTGCTCTCCCTCGCTGCCCCACCCCCTTCCCTGGCGCTTCCACATCATCATGGGTGTCACATAACAAGCTAGGTAACTCCCTAACGAGCCAATTACCACTGGGATGTGACCTGTAAACGAAATCTGTGCGTTACAGGAAATTTGGAACAAAGCGTTATTATCAACTTTTAGAAAGAGAGAGTTAGACGACGTTTGTGTGGCAGTGTGATATAACTTCATGTAGCAGGACGTTTACCAACTGTTCGTCCCTCATTGTGCTAGAGGAGAACGGTGGAGGCTGTCATCCCACCTGGACAATCGTCTGTTTTATGCGGTTTTTACCATCTTAGTTAAATGGTCATGTTAGATTTGGTTAAGTTACGTTACGTTAAATCGCATAAAACAGACGATAGTTCAAGTGGAATGTAATCCGATGGAGGACTTGCACTGTAAGTAGAAACAGTATCCATCTTACCGTCCGCCCGGCATCTTGTCAACCTCTGAACTTGAACAAATAAACGACGATTTTGTTGAAGCTTGGCGAGTGGAGTAGCTGAACCTATATTGACCTTCTACGTTTAGGAGAATTATGGCCGCCTTCATCTTTATGTTGACTGGGGTCCACACTATACATCCTTGTGGTCAACTTTTGGGTTTTTAGTTGCTGGGTTTTTTTTCTCCTTTTAATTTTACGAACTTATTAATTCATTCTAAACATAGCCACAGTGAACAGCTTCCCCATAATGTTGGCGTTTGAGTTATAAGTAATGATAGTGTTCGTTACCACAACATTTATATTTTTGTGTAAATTTTAGTTCAGATTCCTCTAAGACGACTTAACTGAATTGGAACACACTGTAAGGATGAAGTCCATGTTTCTTGCAGTGTGTGTTAAAGGGGTCGACGTCCCTGGCGGTCCTCAAGACACATCTTAATTGTTGAAGAAAATTTAAAAACTGGATATTGCATTTTTTACGTGAAAAATATTTATTGCCGTCCAAAATATAATGCTGAGAAGATTATTCAGCAGAGTAGATAATATACGAACCAAATGTGTTAGTAATGAAAATGTTGCTCTGATAACGAGGCGCTGGTCTGAGGAATTGTAGCCGTGTGTGTTATTGACTTATTAGATTTGGAATCTTCCGCCGGAAAAGTAAATTACATTGAATCTGTACAATGAACACCTCATGTGGGCGATACACAACACCAAGTGACGGGTCAATGACTCATTTATTTTGATAATACTAACAACAAAATATTTACTTCTCACAAAACGAAATGAACATGGCAGCTTAACTCTTTCGCACATTAGTAAAGGTAAAAGAGTGAACACCGTCTGTCCTGAACGACAATTGGTGTTGCATAGACGCTGACGAGGAAACTTTTGTCATTATGGAGGTGAACGAGCGAGATGCTGCAGTAAAAACTTGTCGGCGGGCGAGTCAGGTTGTGACTAAGTCTGATCTTTTGTAACTATAAACAAAAGGAAAAATATCCATAGCAGACGACAGGAACAAAGGTGAAAGTAAAAAATGATGATGAAGTTGCTGTTTATAATAGTAGGATCTAGTAACTCTTAACTAGGTAATTGTTACGCTTGACACCACAGACAGGAGGAGCCTCACCACACGCTACACCACAAGACAGGAGCCTCACCACACACTACACCACAAGACAGGAGCCTCACCACACACTACACCACAAGACAGGAGCCTCACCACACACTACACAAGACAGGAGCCTCACCACACGCTACACCACAAGACAGGAGCTTCACCACACGCTACACCACAAGACAGGAGCCTCACCACACGCTACACCACAAGACAGGAGCTTCACCACACGCTACACCACAAGACAGGACCTCACCACACGCTACACCACAAGACAGGAGCCTCACCACATAAGACAGAAGGAGGAACTCACCGTCAGGGTAGTTGAGTAGGTCCGGGACGTCGCTGAAGACAGTGGCGCACGGCTCACTCACTGTCCTCCCCGCCTGTGTGGCCGGCCAGCAGTACAGGGTATCCCAGGTGGTGTTACAGTACACACCTGTAGGAAGGTGATGGTGTTAGTACCTGGGAGCCGCCCACCCACCCCCCACACACACTCACACACTGTCCTCATATCAATCAACACTTATGTGTTTGTTGTCTACCTGGTGTCAAAGGTTAGGTCAAAGGAATGTCCTTAACCTGTGTGTGTGTGTGCGCGTGTTTTATTAACTTAAACAAATGGGAGTATTACACGTATTTTAATATTCAAATGAGTTACGGCACAATCATTCCACGGTTCCCCAAAGGTCAGATAACATAATTATACAAGGGGACTCAAGTCTACCCTCTGTTTTTGAGATAACCACAAAAAAAAAACAACGATGTACGGCGAGGATATTGATGCAACACTGACGATTTTCTTTTATACGATACAAATATTAATGTAGGTTATATGATATAATATGGTGTGTGTGTGTGTGTGTGAGGCGAGGTGCTGTCGTGGTATAAAGCGAAACAAAGATGTATTAAGGTCTGGCCAAGCGTATCCCATCCTGCTATACAAATTCCAAAGTGTGGAACAAAACACTCACTGTCTCACTAAAACACTCATGGACGATACGTAAAACTGTGCTGTATTAAAATGAACCAAGAAACACACATACAGCCGTCGACATTACTAGACGGATGACCCCAGAAGAAAGAGGACCGCCTGAGCTTCGACTACTATCAACAGCCTTATTACCGGAACATAACCTTCTTGATAGGTAGACAGTGAAAGACGTCAAAATAAAGGCGAGAACCATATCGCCTCGACGCTGTGATCTGAAGGTTATGGCTTATGTCACGTTAAGGGGGAAACTGAAGAAGGGAAGGGGAGTGGTTGGTTTAAGGGGGCGCTCACCCAGATGTTGCCATGGAGACTCATCTCTGCTCACCCAGATGATGCACGCACATTGTCAGCTTCCAGGTCACGCAGAAGTGTAAATCGGGGACCAGTCTTTTGGGTGCTTTATCGACGTCTGTTTTTGTGTGTTCAGGAGACCACCCCGAAAAAGTTATCCAGTAGCGGACGAAAAAAATTTGTCTCAAAGTGATAAGTGTTTTGGAACCGTCCAAGAGAGACCGTTTCAAGACAACAGGACTAAATGATGAAACAACGCAACAGAAGACGGGAAATAGACGAGGTGAGACAATATAAGACAAGATAGAACAAAATAAAACAAGACGGAACGGAATAAGACAAGAAGAAACAAGAAAACGAGATAAGACAACAAAAATAAAACATTTGGTAAAGATAGAAAAAAAGCACATACGTATTCAAGAAAATACAAAACCTGTCACAGAAATTAAACCAAAAGTATTACCGACACTGATGCCAAGGTGAAGGACCCAAGCTCCTCTTATCCTCCATAAAGGCAAAATACTACTACTACTACTGCTACTACTAATACTACTACTACTACTAATAATAATAATAATATAGTAATAATAATGATGATTTATTTATGTGAATTTGATACATAACATAGAATGATCTCATATATATCCCCCTCACTCCCATACAAGCCTCACACAATATCTGGATCCCAAGGTTGAGAATACAAAGACAGACTCTATTACTAACACCTCACAGTTGTGTGTTGTTACTGATATAAAAAGAACATTGGTGGCAGTGGTAATGAATATTGTATTGCCTTGGTACATCTGTTAAATACACTGGAACATTCATATAATGGAGACCAAAGGAAGGTGGTGATGATAGAGTCATTCCTGAGAGAGAGAGAGAGAGAGAGAGAGGCTATATATCTCGATGTGTGTGTGTGTGTGTGTGTGTGTCTAAATATTGGCCCAGCCGTGTGTACATGCATCTAAAAGCTATCCGTGTGTACGTCTGCCTCTGCTGAACCAACACAAATTTCTTTTATACAACTTTCACATTCACAAACATAAAATCTGGGCCAAGACGTGCACACACCTGGGCTAGATGTACACACAGCTGGGTTTAGCTTACACTCAGTTGGGTTAGACGTACACACAGCTGGGTTAGATGTACACACAGATGGGTTAGACTTATAGACAACTGGGTTAGACGTACACACACACACACACACACCTGCGGACTTGTAAATAACCAAACTGGTGGATATTCAAATGGGGAATATGAAATTTTCAAGTACCTGTACGGGCAAACGCAGAAGAGTACAACAGCTGCAATTGTTCACTAAAGAAACGGAATTTCTATGGGAAAATAAAAGGTATAACTATAGTTAAAACATAGGAGTAGACTCGAGGCCTTTGGTGTGGGGATATAGAGAAAGGGGTGAATGAGAATGAGCAGGAAGTGAATTAGAGAGAGAGGAGAGATAAAAAAGTAATTTGAAGCAGGGTGAGTGATGGAAAGGGAAAACTGCGTGCTGAAAAGGCAAGGAGAGTAGTTTGTGGGGTTGGGGGAGGGAGAGAAGCAAGTAGGTAGAGAGTTGTGTGGGAAAAGGAAGAATGATATGCGGGGGAGAAGAGTAAGGAGCTTGAAGTGAGAGGGGAGAGTAGAGATTATTATTATTTATTTTTATTATTTTGAATTAGACAAGGAAGGTGTCGGGCGCAGAGTCACGAGTTAGGGATATAAACTTGAGTTATAACACCTTAATTAATCTCAGATACACCAAACACCCCAACAATACGAGTAACCGGAGTTGATGTTTACCGTCAGGAAGGGGGTTCTTCGACGACTCCTCCAGGCATCTGCGTCCTTCAGGTGACATCGTGAGGAGGTGATGGTGAGGGTAGTGAGATGGGCCGGGTACGGAGGTGAGGTAGGAGCCAGCTGTAGTGACCCCGAGCGTGGATGTGGTGGTCATGGATGGTGACCTCTGGCTGCTGTCCATGCTGAGGGCAGTACATAAACAGGGTTATCCTGATTACTTAACTTAAATGTAAATTCTTTCAACACACACACAACAGAGTGTAAAACCTTTTAGTTACTTTCAACGCGTCGTTACTCAGGACTAGGTGATCACATGAATAATCATCATCATCATCATCATCATCATCGGGAAAAAAAAGAGGGTTCGGATAACGATAGGGATTTTCACCACTAGGGAGGATAATGGCACCAGGAAATGTATTTTTTTTTAGTCTTGGCCACAGTTCACAAGTGATCCTTCCCCTTTGACGATACCGAGGGAGGGTGGATGAGAGGGAGAAGAACGACCTGACGAAGAGTGGGTGAGATGGAGAAGAACGATCCTGAGGGAGAGTGGGTGAGAGGGAGAAGAACGATCCTGAGGGAGAGTGGGTGAGATGGAGAAGAACGACTTGAGGGAGGATAGTGAGAGGGAGGAGAACGATCTTAGAGGAAGATGGTTAGGTGAAAAAATGGGGGCAAATTATGCAGAACAATACGAAAAGTGGTGAGGAAAAAGTCGAGGAAGGGATGAGAATAGATGAAGGTAATTGAGGTAGGTTGATTAGGTTCGGGTATACCGGTAAGGAGACAGAGACGCCCAACAAAGGCCCCATGGTGTTTCTATGGCTGTCTTCACACCAGTCAATTAACGATACCTTGAATAGAATACTTTGATCCGATCGCGTTCAAAGTCACAACACAGACAGGGGGAGAGCGCTGAAATATATTGTGTGTGGATTCGATAAAAAAAAATAGGATTCTTCTTGGTACAGTGACCAGGGTATAGTGACCAGGGTACAGGGACTAGGGTACAGTGACCTGGGTACAGTGACCTGAGTACAGTGACCAGCTGATGGTGGCAGTTATTACCGGGGAATCTATCTTTCATAAAATAAGACCAAAATATATGAGTAGTTTACTGACAAAACATTTAAGTCTTTGGTAAAATAATTCTAAAAGGTAGTCGTTGATACTTGTAGTGTGTGCGTGTGTGTGTGTGTGTGTGTGTGTGTGTGTGTAGTAAAATAGGAGAATATTGATCAGCTCTAGTCCAGCAAATGTTAATACAAACATAAAATGGTGAGTTTTAAGTTACAGCTGTCGATTCATATTTCACGAGTTGTTTTGGTAAAAATATACCAGTAACATACGTCTTTTTACACGCACACACAGACTTACGTACACACACCAAGGTATATGTATAAACATAGGCAAACACACAAATACATACATACTGTACATACCTACACAAAGAAGTAAACAGAGTCACATATATAATCTATTAACAACATATTAATAAATATATTCACATCTTACCTTAAACTGCATTCGCCAAAATCTAATGTCAGTTTAGGTAAGTCATTTAATTATCAAATGTACTTCCTAGTCTTTATTTGTAAACAAGTATTGTTCCGTCTCTCACTAATGTTTTTTTCTCGGTTTATTTTACGAGGAGTCATCCATCAGTCATACACAGTGACAGTCACACGGTGTTCTCCATAACAGACTTTAAGCTATTTTTTTTCTATTTCTCGCGTCTAGTATGTGCGCCTCCTGTGTACCAGCACCACCCTCATCCTGCCGCCCCTCGACCCACACTGACACTTTCCCGCCAAGTCTAAGGAGAGGCCGTCGACGCATGCGTTAAGATAATAGTTCTTTTAACCTGCCTCTTTTTCCCTTGATGGTGATTTTTTTTTATTATACCGAGAAACTCCTAAAACTTGATCACCCCATCAAAATTCAATATACTATATATATATATATATATATATATATATATATATATATATATATATATATATATATATATATATATATATATATATATATATATATACATATATATATATATATATATATATATATATATATATATATATATATATATATATATATATATATATATATATATATATATATATATATATATATATATATATATATATATATATATATATATATATATATATATATATATATATATATATATATGTATATCTATTTAGGCAGAGACGTTGCAGGCCTAATACCGGTAAGTATTTTTGTTGATTTGTTCTTACAGGTGATTCTTAGTTCCAGGTGTTCAAGAACAAAATCAGTAATTGTTTCCTGGTGGATAAGATGATTTTTTTCTAGCCTCCTACTTGTTGTCTTTCTTCCGTTTCTGCTTTTTTGTTTCCCTTGGCTTAGATATAAGGGAAAGTAAAGATTAAAGAAAGGGAGAGGAGAAGGTTGAATGGGGAATGAGAATTGTAGAAAGGGAGAGGAAATGGTTGAATGGTGAAGAAGCGCAGTAAGGTAGAGGAAAGGGGGTAGATCATGTAGAAAAAGAATCTCCCCTTATGTCCTTAATTAGCATACAACTTACCTGTGGCTACTTATACTGTGTTGAGTAGTAAGTAAAGTCACTGCAGAGAATGGTTATAATAGGAGTGCCCCTACGGTTGCTTGTCACCTCTGTACTGACGCTGCTCAAGTCCTAAACACACTTACATTAAATCAAGTTAGACGGTGATGATTGAAACAAGTTATTTGTTATACGTTTGCTTAAGTAACTTTCTTCATATAGTAAAATTAAAATAGAGATTTCAGTTAATTCCGTCAGTTTTAGTGTGAGTATATCATGTTCTTAACCTAACTTAACCAAATTTAACTCAACATTGCCTTGATATTAACCCTTTCCTAACATAACCCATTCTGGTAGGAGGAAACTGGAGGAGGCGGTGCTGGGGGAGCTATTACAACGTGAGAGGAACTTGCTATCACCTGCAATGACGATGTTGTATCACAGGTAACCAGGGCAGTACAAGGGGCAATATACAGCTACATCTGCCTCGAGAAAGTACACAAGGAAGTTGGAGATATTGCTTAGGGGTCATACCATCAGGGCATGGAAGAACCCCCAGATGGCCACAATAGACTCTGGTATCCTGTTTTCCTCTCCGACTCGTCTTTAACACCGAGTATAACAAAAGAATATCGACTCTCCCGCTGTGTTGAGATACAGAACCCTTTAAAACCTTACTTCCTTTCATTTATTGCCTGCTTATCAATAGATTTGTGGAGGTTTGAAGTTTTATTGCCGTGGGAAGGAAAACTAAAAGAAGAATGGTTTTTCCTCTCCCTATAAGAAAAGGTTTGCTCCTGACGCTGTCCCAGTATAGATGCGCAAAGGCAAGGGAACGTACGTGATGATTGACGATTCTGTACTCGTATTTTTTTCTGTGTGTGTGTGTGTGTGTGTTGGGGACGGGTGTCTTTAGAAATCATTTAAATGCGGTAACTCGAACAAATAAAGGAACCATTTTATTTTTTTGGTTGTGTGTTTTTGGTTAATCACAAAATCTCAGAAACCAAAAAAAAAAATCGATATTCAGTATTTTCCCCCAATTACTCTCTCTGGTAACTGGAGACCTTAACACTGAGAATAATTATTTTTAAAAGAATAACTTTCCAATTTAACTTTGTAGTAAATTATTGCGGTGAACTCAGGATCTAGTTCAACAATTGTATCCGATGTAAGTTGGTACAGATCGGTGTGTTGGCAGCGAGTGATGGCTTAACCTGTAGCGTGATCACAGCTCTACTAGAACGATAAAATTGTATTAACTATACTGCTGCCGTGTGTTGTGGCGGTGACTTCCTATTACACGTCACTCTTGTATCACAACACACACACACACACACACACACATACATACACACAGCTATCGCATAAACAGTACAGTGAAAGCGAGTCTGTGAGGACCTAAGACGAGATTCACACCCTCTCGATTCTGCCTGTCGTCGCCTCGTTCACGCTCTCAAGAAAGATTCCATTTGCGTTTTGAATAAATTTCCATCGAGGGAACTTTCCTCTCTCCCATTGGAATGATTTCTTGCCACGCCACCTAGAATTTGGCGAGAACATGCAAGGGATGAAGCTCGCGATTTTTTCCTCGTCAATATGTTATCAGCAATACGCATCCGCCGACGATAAAACCTTGTGGCATTTTCTTATTAATATGACACGAATTTAGTTCTCCATGTCTAATATAACGGAAGGGTAGTTGCATCCCTGTCTCATATAACGGAAGGGTAGTTGTATCCCTGTCTCATATAACGGAAGATTAGTTGTATCCGTCTCATATGACGGAAGATTAGTTGTATCCCTGTCTCATATAACGGAAGATTAGTTGTTTCCCTGTCTCATATAACGGAAGATTAGTTGTTTCCCTGTCTCATATAACGGAAGATTAGTTGTTTCCCTGTCTCATATAACGGAAGATTAGTTGTTTCCCTGTCTCACATAACAGAAGATTAGATCTAACTTTGTCCTGTTTAATACTAATTGGTTCTGTATGTTTAGTACCTGACATTATAATCTCTCTCATATCATAATTTTCAAAAACATTTGAATCACCCGTATAAACATGCCCATAATCTCCACTAATAGATACAGATGCATCTCGTCGGATCTTTCTAAGTCCATTTAAATCTATAGCTCATCCAAAAAATAATATTAAAAAGAGTGTTACCTATATTCTTAGAATACTTATAATAAACTTTAATATAATAAATCCTCATATTACCTGCCAAATGTCCCGTAATTCTGGTAACTCTAATAATGGACGAAATATTAACTTCAACTATTGTCCTGACAAAGCGAACTACAACAGATTCATTAGCTGAAATTTGGATGTAGTAGTGACACCAAAAGTTTTGTATATTTGTGTAATGGTTTTGGAATCTGATATCGTTCATGGCCGGGGGACGGTGTACAATAAAAGACAAAAATTGTGTCGTAAAATTTGGTGAAAACATATGCCGAAGGGCTAAACTTTTGGTGCGCTCTGCCTTCTGGAAGGGGCTCTCATAATTTTTCAGGAATTCTATTTAATCTTAGGACAAAACCGCGACACGACTTTTGTCTTTGATTGTACAATGAGTGAACAACTACTTGTGTCCTTTATTTTTCCAAGTTCCGGGAATTCAGCTACCTAGAAAAATACACCCTCCCTTCCTCCCTCCCACCCACACTTGAACACCTTTAAGTAATTGGCATATATCTTTTGGGGATGTCACGTACCTGTATTGCCATATTTTTATATTTTGAAAGTTTGATTGTTCTAATTTTATGTAATTTATTTGGCTTAACAATACCGAAGCGCTGTGTTGGTCTAACGGAGAGGCCGGCGACCAGTGTACATAAACGTGAGGGGAGGAGAGCATCACGGATAAATACAAATTACAAGGTTATGAATTTATTTATTTATTTATTTTTTGCGGGGATTAGCCCACAGGTCACTGACCCACATCGGGGCCTGGGGGCAAAAATGTAATAATAATAATAATAATAATAATAATAATAATAATAATAATAATAATAATAATAATAATTTATTATTCATAGTAAATGAAATTTATAATAAAATACAAACAAAATTCAGAATAAAATAATAATAATAAATTAATAAAGAAACACAAAAATGAAAAAAAAAAGATCAAAAGTGAGAAACAATATACTGTATATATGTTGTGTTGTCAATAGTGAGAGAAACAATTGAGACCCTGCAATTGTGTGTAAATGAGGCAGGAAGTCAGATCAGCTACCTGGGACTTGGTCACAATTTTCGTGATGCCATATGGCAGCAGGGTCTACCTTATATTACACAACACATTATGCTTCCAATAACTTCCCAGGCGGTAGTACCTCCCCCTTTGATAGTTGCCTACTACCTACTACCTATAAAATACAATATACGTGTTCAGCTTATGTTTGATTTGTAATATACACTTGTGTATGGTGTATTGGTGTATCCTGGAATTGCATATAGCTGAAACAATAATAATTCAACTGTGTTGTCAGAGAACCTGCCGCGAAAATAAATTTATCGGAGAAAGTAAAAACGACGACACATCTAAATGCAAATGTCGTTACATGTATTGATAATCTGTCTGTGACAGGTGTGTGTGTGTGTCATACTTCTGAGTATGGTATCGGGTGGAGGCTGTATTTTAGTGACTGTTGTCTACCTCCTCAGCTCCCTTACAGTTGTACATTAGTTCTCATAGACCCACAGCCGTGTACTGCACTCTCGTTCACGGGTGTACTAGTTGGGTGGAGGGAGTGTACGAGTCCGTGAAAGTAATGAGTCAGTGTTACAGAATGCCCTTAAACATAATAATTTTTATGATTGTATATTTTTATTCTTAGCGATAAACATACAGCAAACATAATCCGGGCTTTTGTTTATGGATATATACAATAGTCTCACGTGTCGGAAACCAATTTGGATGTTGGGAACAAAGCGACATCACCGACATACTAAACTGGGAGAGTATTGTGTCTATCCAGTATATACTACTTCGTTTCTAAGTTCATGTACAGAGGAAAAAATTACGAGGAAGCCGTGACATTAGCATCAGGATCATGTTAGTTAAAAGTTGAAGGGCTTTAATCGTATATATTGTTATTTAGCAACCCACAGCCATTTGTTTCATGGAGAATCTTGGAGGATGGAAGGCGAATAGACAGAAGGATGAGGACGTAAGCTCAGGGAAAACACACAGATGTTTCGTATTGACAACAGAACTTCGATA